ATTTGCAGAAGTCATTATAGATATTTTTTTAGTTAACCTTAAAAAAAAAAAAAGAAATGACAAATTAAGTGTTACTTAGGTTAATTTTCTGTTGCACTCGATAGTGTTTCGACAAATTTTAGTTAATCGCATATTTTAGTTATCATAAACCTACTGTTTCATTTTTACAGTATGATACAAATGACGACCAGTCAGCGCAAAATTTACGAGAGTAATTTAAATACAATTATAATAGTACATATTGTAAATGTTATTAATTTTTGAATATAGAACAAAAAAAAATTGTTAATGTTTTCACTTCTATCGTGTGGTCTTAAGCACATGCCGTAGTTTTTTTATTTTTATTCTTGCACTATAATGTGAAACAAATCAAAAAGGTGATGTGGCTAGATCTTTATTTTTATTTTCATAATATTTGATATTAATTTAACGACCGAGTCAGACTGGATGGACATCTGATAAAAACGATAGCTCCATTCCAATGAAAAATATTTGCAAAAATTGATTTATCAAAATAAAATCATTATCTAGTGATCTAAACGTGCATTACGTATTGGGATAAGCCCAAAGGTGGCGTGCAACAGGGCGATGCACTCGCCTACCTTCTCTGTAACCTGATCGAATTTATGAGTATCAAGCATAAAAGTAATTAAAGGTAATTTTTTAGTAATTTGTATAATATTCTCATAATACCGATGTAAGAAGCTATCCTTAAAGGCTATGCAGAGAGTATGGTTTAGTTACTTCAAATATATATATATATATATATATATATATATATATATATATATAGGTCCCTGGTACAGACCCCTATCTATCAAATTATTAACATCCACCTGAATCTTCGTAAATAGCTTCATCTCATAGTAACCTACAAATATTTTATTTACGAAAACACTCAGAATTGGGAAGTTTTAAATCTGGAGATCGATAAACTTTATCTATTTAATTAGGTAATAAAACATACTATAGGACTGCCGACTTGATTTTCACTTGAAACCTAAGATAGTATGATCACATAAATGGTGAAAAATAAATGGTGTCCTACAAAAATATTGGTGCGTTTGGCCTATATTACCGTAATTTTAACTTTTTCGAAGCGGAGGACCCGCCAAACGGATTAATATTTTTGTAGGCCATCTTTTTTTTTTTCGACTTTCTGATCATTTCATCTTACGATTCAAGTGGGAAGCAAATGAGTACTCATAAGTTCTTATTACCTAATTAAATAGACTAAGTTTGCAGATTTCTAGATTTAAAACGTTCCAATTACGAGAATCTTCGTAAATAAAATATTTGTAGGTTACGATCAAATGATTTACCAAGTTTCTCGGCGTATGTAAATAATTTGATAAAAAATGGGCCTAAATCAGAGACTAGTTTTGTTTTACACATGGTGGGGCAATCGTTATGAATATGCAATTCTTGAGTAGTTCAAGAACAAATCGACAGCTTTATCGAGAGAAAAATTCTCAAAATTGTACCTCACAAGAGATCAAAAATACACTGACATAATAAGAAACAAATAAATAGTAATAAACAGAAGAGGTACTTTCATATAAAAAACCCAGGAACATTTTTCTCTTTTTTTCCTTTAGTCATTCATAAAATTCTTACGCCTAACCACAAGGGAATATTAATTATTTCATTTAAACCGTATAAAAGTTATTTCAGAGGAAGCCATTTTGAAAATTCGGTATTTATGCTATGCCAGATTGTTTAAATGATGATGAGATCTATTTCAGATTAAAATCCATTTAATTTTATTATACATTGATACAAACGATTTTAATCGAAATCGTAATAACCGTTTTCGAGAAAATCATAAAACTATAAAATCGTCATATAAAGTGCCACTTTCGGTACACCGATTTTATCATAAAAATTGCTTTACCATTCCATGCATATACATAATTTCAGTTTCGTACTATAGTTTGTCTTTGAGCTTGACACGGACACACAAAACATTTTGTGAGAGTTGGTTATTTGGACCTATTTCGGCTAAAAACTCGGTTTTGAAAATTCTTCATTACTTCCTGTATAGGTAATTGAAAGTAAAACAAAAAAATTAAAGTGCTCTTTCCTGCAGTCACTGCTTCTCCTCTTTCCATTCCCAAGACATAGTTTGTTTCTATTGATTTTTCTTCTGACGTTTGGTATTCATTATTGAATTGTTTATATTGGGTATCATTATTTACTATATTGTAATGTGGTAAAGGCAATAAAGTATGTGCATGTGTGAGTTGGCCGAATTGGGATTTGATCTTATCCGTCCAAGTTTGACTGGACTAAAATACTTTAGCAGAATTGAAATCTAACAAGTAAAGTATAACGTTGTAAAGAAGGACGAAAACAATTATTATTTCTGATAAAGGATATTATTTAGCCGAAATTAGACGTTTTCCATCTAAATGGTTACTTATATAATTATTTTTAGGTATCAGAAACTAAAACCACGTAGTGCATCAAATTGTCCTTCCGAAATTGTTTAATATAGGAGATGATGTAAAGAAGAGCATGCTGCCTTAAATATTTAAAGTGTAGCAATAATTTGCATAAATAACACATGGTAATAATAACCGTTAACAACTTTAGTTATAACATTAACCTCGATAACAGATTAAAATAATAGATTATTAATTGAACGGCATTGAGCTGAATGAGAACCATCCATGATTAATGTTTTTTTGTCACTATTTCCTTTTATGAATGTATATTTTAATTATTTATTTGATTATGATAAGTAGTTAAGTGTCTCGAAATATTTGAAGTCCGACAAGAATGCCACTTATAAAGAAGACTGCTATATATATTTATATTTCATTGAATGTGGTATTTGTTTAAGCATTGGTATATTTACAAATATTAATATTTATATTGTTGAAATCTATACAATTTAATATTAAATAATACCAATGTTACCATTTATGAAAACCGCACATGTATATTGTATTATCGGAGTCCGTATTCTATTAAGTGTTAGGCACGAAAACCTACTCTAAGCTATCGGCCAAGCTCCTCGGGTGCGCGCTCGGATTTCTTCGGTTCTCCATTGCCATTCCTTATTTTTCTTTTAGTTAATTATAAAATCTTATCATAATCTATATTTAACCATTTTTTATAGCAGGTTACAATATGAAATTTATAAAATTACTTTAAATTAAAAAAAAATAAAGGTACTGTAGAGAAAGAAATTTTAGAGAAAAGAGATAAATAAAAGAGAAAATCAATTAGAATAAAAACTACATTATAGTAAAAATCACTTTATTTAACATTGAAACAATGAATTTAATCAAAATCGTTTGAGCTTTTTTCGAGAAAATTGTAAAAATGTGTAAAATCGATGATATAGTTAGACAAACCCTGAATAAGCAATTTCTGATTCGTACGACTTTTCGTTTTTGAGTTAGACTGTTCACATACAGATCATTTTGCCAGACTTGGTTATTTGGACTCAAACGACATCATAACATGTATTTCCGTTAAAATTTGGTTTTTATTGGTGGTTAAAAACTTTTACACGATCGCAATACATTCCCTCGCCATACATTCCATATATAGGTAATTGAAAGTATAAATTTATTTCTAGAGCCATCTTCAGGGTTATAATATGCAACAAACTCGTAATAAAAAGAAGTCAATATAAGAAGATACAAAAATTATAATTTTCCGTATTCTGTAAAATGGTCAACATCAAAATTAGATATTTTAGTATTTTAGATTTTTAGTTTCATAGCATAAATAGCTTACGATGGGTAAAAATGTCGAACTTGGAAATTTCGTATTTGTACATTATTCTGGTTAATCCCCTCATGTAACAATTTCTAAAATATCTTGTTAAATTTGCTGTTTTAAAAAAAATAGGGAGCTTTTTTAAATTTATTTTTTTATAACGGTTGTTGGTCTGGAAGAAAAAGAAAGAAACTATTTTATTATTTTTGAATTTCTAAGAAATCTAAACAAAAATTGCTATCTAAAAGTAAGAAAAAATATAAAGATATTTGAAAAAGAAAAAAGAAAAAAAAGTAATTACAGTAACAATAATGCATTAAATTGTTTACAACAATATAGCAAGGTTACAACAATATATACCAATGCTTAAACAAATAACACCTTCAATGAAATATAAATATATATACCTCACGTCGTTTGGGTCGATACCTCAGCTTGTAGTGGAAGAAATGATTTTATTTTACCACTGGCTGAGTCTCTGAAATATGTCATATTTATAAATCATAACAGTTTTTTATTGTTTTTTTTTTTTATTTAAGGTGTTTTCTTTATAAATTGAAGTTTCCCTCAGACAAACTCCTCCCTCAGTCGGTTCCTCCACTTCTCCCTATCCATCGCTTCCTCTCCCGCCATCCCTTGGCCCACCATATTCTCAGCCACAACATCTCTCCAGGTCTTCCTCTCTCCTTCTCCTTCCCTCGGCCTCCCACTCAAATACCGTTTTGGAAAGTCGTTCGCTATTCATCCTTTTCATATGCCCAAACCACTATGATCTTCTTTCTTCCATTATTTCTAGTGTATTATTCTTAACTTCCATCCTTTCTCTAATGGTCTTGTTTCTGATTCTTTGCGTCCTTAAGACTCTAACCAACCTCCTCCAAAAATCCATCTCTACAGCTAGAAGTATTTTGCTCTGTTATTTATCGAGCGACCATGTTTCCGAACTATAGAGCATTCCGTTCTCTACCAGGGCCTTATATATTAATTTCTTCACTTTATTATAAATATTTTCTCTCCAGCAAACTAAATTGAGCACACCAATTGTTTTCCGTCCGTTTGTCAATCTTTTTTCAATATCCTTCCTCGCTCTTCCGTTACTTTTAAGTGTTGAGCCAAGGTAGCATGATTCGTGTACCCTACAAAGCCCTGTCAAAATTGGGTCACTCAACTCATCGTTCTCTGTCGACATATATTTTGTTTTTTAATAATTACATAACAATTTACCACTTATAATTTTATATTAAATAAAATAATGTTGTGTATTGCAGACATGGCGATGGTTGGTCCGCGGTGCGGCGAAGAAGCGGACCTCACAAGCCTAACATGGCTCAACAACTTGAGCATCATGCCACCAGCACTCCCGACTCCACCTTCGTCGCCGAAGCCTCCCCCTCCGAAGAAGTCCATCAGCCTCAGGCTAACTCTCAGTATGTATTCCATCTATATATTATCTATAACAGAATTAACGAATAATAGGTATAATAAAGGGGAAGTTTATTATTAACTCAATGCTGAGCTGATCGAGGGTATCAGATTCTTGGTAAATTGGGAGAAAAGGGAAAACCATCAATGAACTTAGCATTGAGTTTAAGAACTTGACCAAATTAAACATGAAATAGTTTTAATGCTCTGCAATATACATTAAGGCAAAGAATATCACCTATTATCGATTTTGCATTGTTAAGTTTCTCGTAAGGTATTTAATTACGGATGATTACATTAAACATTATAAAATTGCGGCATGGGAATTAAGTGATTAGGCTTAAATCTGAGATAGGCAGATTTACTGCCACTTGTTGATTATGGTACCAGGACGTGAAGTCAGCGATTTCAATGAAACGTTTTTTGTCACGACTCCACTTATCCACAAGGAAATTAGCATGGATTTTGGTTCCCATAAGTATACAAAACTAAACAAGTCAGAACTGAAGATATAAATTAAAAATATATATGGAATTCCTAGATAAAAATTCTAAAAAAAAAACGAAGTATAAAAATTCATATTTTTTTAAAACAAATTCGTGTAAAAAATTTTAAAGGACTCGAGAAACGAATCTAATACGTTTTTCATGACAAATATTCAGTTGGCCCACTTTACTGGAAGAGCCTTTTGGTTCTTATTATTTATTATACATTTGAATTCGTTTAATACATTCAGAAATTTGTTTATCTCATTTTACAAAAAAATAAATCGATTAAAAATTATAATATAAATAAAAGAAACTATAAAATAAATTATAACTATAAAAAAAAAAATTAATATTTTATAAAATACTTTTTTATTGCCTACCTATACCACATTGCTAAGAACACTCGAACAATATTTTTCGAACTAGTATTACCGAAAAAAGTTTCATTCAAATTGTTTGATCAAACGTCCGCAACAACCTCTTGTAATTGTCAATTAGGGACTGTGTCTCGAAAGCAGAGTCAATTCTCAATTTTTCCTGTGACTAGTTTGCCTAAACTCTCTGCTAATTTGATAATAATTACCAGAGCCCGGATTTTTTTATAAAATTGCACGTTTTGTTTATATACAGTTCTTAAAGTGTTGATCAAACACCTTTTTGAATAAGTAAGTGTACTCAGATACAATTAGTCAAATTTTGTATTGAATATTTAATGATAAATTCATATAAATACAGATTTTGATGATTTAAAATAAATTTAAAAATATATAGGAATACAAAAATTAATATGGAACATTGGAGATAAAATACCGGATTACAGTCGTAGGTTAATATTCATTAGCAAATCAACGAAATTTCTTCCTTGAAAAGACTTTTTAGAATATGGATTTGTTTTATCATTTCCGGCTTTTCATTTCCCCTCTTTACCTCATTTAAATGTTTAAACGTTTAAATACGTTACAATTGTTTTATTATATTTGCTATTATTTTAAATGCCAAAATAAGGTCATCGTTTTCTTCAAAATTGGAACCTTACAATATCTGAAATGAAATAGTTTTTAAAAGTCATAGGGAAATCTTCTTTTTTTACGTTCACTTCCCTATATACAAAGTATATAGTAAAGGAAAGTATTGCGATCATGTAAAACTTTTTAACCACCAATAAAAAACAATTTTTTAACGGAAATACATGTTATGATGTCCTTTGAGTCCAAATAACCAAGTCTAGCAAAATTATCTGTATGTGAACAGTCTAGCACAAAAACGAAAAGTCTTACGAAACATAAATTGCGTATTCAGGGTTTGTCTAACAAGGGCATATCTAGCCTAGCATGTTACAGCAACTTTTTAATCAAAATCGGCTAACCGAAAGATCCATTTTATATCATCGATTTTACACATTTTTACGATTTTATCGAAAACAGCTCAAACGATTTTGATTAAATTCATTGTTTCAATGTTAAATAAAGCAAGTTTATATATAACATAGTTTTTATTCTAATTGATGTTCTCTAATAGGGCTAAAATGCCTAATTTTCACAATTTTTTTCTCTAAAGTACCATTATTTTTTTAATTTAAAGTAATTTTATACATCTCACATTGCAATAGAAAATGGTTAAATATAAGTTATGAAAGAAATTAATAATTAACTAAATAATAGAAATAAGGAAGAACCGAAGAAATCCGAGCATGCACCCGAGCTTGACCGATAGTTTTAGAGTAGGCTTTCATGCCTAATACATACTTAATAGAACACGGACTCCGATAATATTATATACATATACATTGCGAGTATTGCGATTGTGAAAATTTTCGAATCTCAGATCTATGATAAGCAATGCAAATCTCGTAATTCCATTTTAGTAAACTTTGCAATGGAAAATAACAGTTTATTAACTAACAATCGTCCAATCCATAATCAACGTATCGTTCAATCAACAATGAACCGTTAATATATATATATATATATATATATATATATATATATATATATATATATATATATATATGATGAATAGAATTTTTGTTATTTTAATAGTATTAATAATTTTTAGCCGCAAGCTTTCAACTTTAGCTCGATTAAAAATGCACTTAAAAATTTTTATAATACCTCAACATTGTCAGAAAATAATTTATATTTAACGTAGAGCGGTAAGAGAAAGTCGTGTGTTGCGCGCACCAAATTATTTAAGTACAAATTATAAATAAAAGTAATGCCTATTTGTCAATCAGTTGTTTAATACAATTCACTTTTCAATTAAAACGATATTAATAGAAGTGCCATTCTTTTTAGTTACGTTTTTCTAGATATAATTTTTTCTCAACCTCCCAGAGAAAAGTAGAAGGAGCCGTGCGACCCCGCGTCCCTCTCTTGGATCCACCAGTGCAGCATAGATCCACTGAAAATATCCAGAAATTGGGACTTTCCCGGAATACGTCAGCTGTTCAAATTCCGTTTTTGTTTATTTTATTTTTTTCTGATTCATTCATTCTTGTAATTTACATTTTTTTTTTTTACAGATGCTGCTATGGCGGAGGAATACAGATTGTGTGGAGATAAAAAGCCACCATTTTCATATGCTACACTAATATGTATGGCGATGAGGGCAAACCAAAATAAAATGACACTATCTGCAATATACTCTTGGATAAAAGAAAATTTCCTGTATTATCGGCTTGCTGATCCTAGCTGGCAGGTATTAATTTTATAAATTAATATTTATTATTAATAATTCTTTAGAAGGTGATAAGAACATTATGTGAAAATGAAGAGGTTCATGTTGGAATGAATCATTAAATCCTAGGATATACGAATGATACAGCTGACCATATGAAGCTATAATGAGGGTTTACATTTAGGGTACTAGTTCGTTTTTCGTTCTAGCTAAGACTCCAATAGTAGTCCTGGAGGCAGGGCCCAAAAAGTTACCTCTTCACAGGCTAAAGTTTGAATGAAAATTATGAAAGTGTGTGTTACTCTAAGAAGCAAAATAAACCTTGGCTGCCATTTCAGAGCCGATGTTTTAAAAAATGTCGAGTGATTTAAAGATGATTAGGCCGATACCTTGAGGACCGAAATTTATCCTTTAACTTGTATACATTGGTTCAAAAATGTAAGAACCAAAACTGCTAACGCAGGCCATCAAGGGAAAACTGTTTAAAGAGCTAATTTTTTTTCTATCTTTTTTTGTTTTCCGTAAATCCTGAACGGTGCGTCGAAGCGGAAGACGTAATCTTAAAGAACGTTAAATTGTACTTTGAAAAATTATCTAAACTTGTATCTCCTCAGTATAATACGGATTCCGATAATGCTAGGTTTTCATAAGTGCTAGTGTTGGTATTATTTAATTGTATAGATTACAGAAATTAAAAAAATTTTATATACGGATTTGTAAACAATTAAAAATATCTACAATGAAATATAATATAATAGCGGTCTTCTTTCTACTATTTATTATAATCAAATAAATAATTAACATATACAGTCGTAAAAGGAATTCTTTACTGACAAAATAAAAAAGTGTTCGCTTAGGGTCAATATATAACTTTTTTTTTTTTTTTGACTTGATTCTTCAACTCACACCTGTCAGAAGTTCCGACAATCAGCGTGTGTGATGTCAAGATGAAGAGATTGGTCTTGGAATAGGCGTGAGGGAGAGGAGTACCCAGCGGCGTCCTTCCTGTCTTGAGCGTAATATTTCTAGTTAGTGGAGGAGATCCCTCATCCAGCTTCTTTTAAGCCTCCTTCGGGTGCTATCGGGCATGTTAGTTGTGGCCTTGGCTCGAATCAATGAGTTTGTATGTCCGTGTAAGTTATTATGAAATCGTTTGTAGTATGTTCGTATGTGGTCGTTAACTGTTGGCATCTGTAAGTCTTTATGTAGGGTAATGTTACTGACGTACCAGTCAATATATAACTAACCTTTATATTTGATCCCTTGGTTCAAATAAAATTAATTTGAGTAATCTGTATTTGAAATAAACTCACTTTTATTTCAACACAAACTTTACATAGAGATTTTAGAATTTGAGACTATTAGACTTTTGTACAGCATCCACACATATATTATTACAGTAAGGCTCGAAATCGGTTTTGTACCAAATATAAGCTCCTGTCATTCTCAAATACCATGAATGGGGTACCGTTGGATTCAGAATTTCACGGGGGGTTAGCGAATCGTATTCTCCGCTTTTATTTTTCTTTCTAAAATAAATAAAGTCGATACAAACATTTTGCTAGGCTTCAATACAGGAACGGTGGTAGGTCTGTAGATCGATACGGAACAAATTGGATCTTGAAGATTTTGATGCGTACAGCAAGACCCGGATAGTTCCTTTGGAACTATCGGATCCTGCGTTTTTAAGCCCAAAAACGTAATATTTTCGATATAACGCAAGGCATGGGGTTCGCATCCACACAACCTTACGTTAATTGTAGTACTGTCATTGGATACATGTCTCATTTCGTCGACTTGAGGTCTCTATGATCGAGACAGGAGGAGTTTATATTATTTATCGATGGTGTTTTTGATCGGCCATATCATCGTTAATTCTTCACCAAATCTCAAGATCGAGCCTCTAATTTCAATGGCTTCCTTCTCCTTCAGGTGGGCAAAATAGTCCAATCACCCCGAAAATTCAGGTAAACAAGTTATGAAAGAAAAAAAACTTTATTTGCGAGTAACTAAAAAATTACACACTTTTTCCTTAGTTATTCCCATGATTATATAAAACATTACAAAATTGTCTACAAAAGGAAAAAAAAAATCATCGAAATCGATTAGAAAATTTTCCAATATTTTTTGTTTTTCATTTTATTATTTATTTTTTCGTATTTTCGATTAATATTCATTGGGATAGTTCTATTATATCCCTTTTTATTTGAAAATAACTATATATTTGGCATATAGCTATATTATCTGTACGACGATGAAATAATTTATACTGACCGAATGATTGTATAAAACATTACTAAATTGTCTACAAAAGGAAAAAAACATCATTGAAATCGGACAATTTTTCGCAAAGATACAGCTTATTGAAATTTGTAAATATGTTGGTTCCAAACAAAAATAACAACAACAACTAGAGTGTGAATGTGATCTGTGAACACTATTATAAATGTCCTTGAGACAGATTGTAATATTTTTTCAATAAATAAGATTAAAAAAATTAATTTTGTTCCCTTTGTCGATTATATTTATGGGTAAAGTAACATTGATTCCTTTATCTTTTGATACCTTGCATTATTTTATTTTTTATTAATTTGGCATTTGATAACAATATGCTGTGCGAATTTTTCGCACGGGCCTACTAGTTAATAATTATTCACATATGAAAAGAATTTGTTGATGCTATGTAGGTTTGGTCAAATTAAATAAAAGTAGTGAATACATGAAAAAATAGATAAAATAATTTATAAATAATATTAATTACCTAAATTAAATAACATAATTTCTATGAAATAATCATAATTATCTTTTGTAGAATTCTATCAGGCATAACTTAAGTCTAAACAAATGTTTTGTAAAAGTTCCTCGAAGTAAAGAGGAGCCTGGAAAAGGAGGATTTTGGAGGCTAGACATGGAAAGCTTGGAAAGAGGGCATACTACAAGACCAAGAAATAGTAAGTATTTCAACTCAATTATTTAACTTTTCACAATAAAATTGGATGAATAATTATATTAGAAGCTTTCCATATAGAAATTTTTAATCATATGTTTTTTATCTTTTCTCATTTATTTTGTTGAAAAAATATTGATTTCCGATAATCAAATGTTGATTTTGAAAGCAATTTTAAAAATATATTGATATTTTTCTTACATTTCTAAGCTGGTAGTCCCTTCTTGAAAAAATTAATAGTATAATCTTTTGTAATAAAACAAAAAAAAAAAAAAATACATTTATTGTAATTTGAATATAAACTTTGATGTTATTAGATGTTGGCTAAATTTCATCAATATTGGAGAAGTAAAAATCCTTGTTTAAAATGAAGCACATATTGGCTACTTTTATTTAGTAATTTAATGACATAAATTTTGATTCATCAGTACTTATACTACTTAAGTAATAATAAAATAATAATAATTAAAAAAATATAAAAAACTCCTGATTTTTTAAACAAAAAAACTTTATCAACTGATCAAACAAAAATGTAATATAGTTATCATTCAATTATATTATAAAAAGGCTGTTATTGTAGGCTGTCTTATCTTTCTTACAAAAAAGAAAAGAAAACACATACTTGTCTGATAAAATATGTAATTTTTTACAAGAATGCTATTCTATAACAAAAAAAGTCCCTATTTGGAAAATTGTTATTTATCTTCCGAAATGGGCTCAAATATTCTGGTAATATTTGTTCTAGACCCAAATGAATTTCTTTTTAAAAAATCAATATTCTAATTAGCATTTACAAGTTTTATTTGTTTCATATTGTGTTATTACTTAGTCAGTATATTTTGATATCTTCCATCCTTAGTTCAAAATGTCATTAATTTTCAGGGGTACACAATTCCACGAAGAGCATAAATGGTGAGAAAACCATAGGGACAAAAAAACGGGAAAAGACGGTAGCAACAAGTGTGAAGTTTCCATCACCTGAAAAAACTCAAGAAATATTTTTGGGATTCGAGCAAGGACCGAACGTAGTGGTAGAACCATTACCAGAAGATGAGCTCTCTTCCATTCTGCTTGGAGGAGGTGCTGGTGGCTGGGATGAAAGCCAACTTGAACTGCTACATTCTCTTTTAGATACGTTATGAACATGATAATTATCTATAAAAAACGGAGGTTTATTTCCACCTTTGAAGCTTGTGTACCTTAATCATGTTTTCAATGGGTTACTCCCCTAATGGTGGAGATAAACACATGTGTTTTAAGGTTGGTCAAAATGTGTAGTATTTTGTACTGTACTATTCTGTCATACATAAAAATGAGAACCTATACGTGAATTATTAAGTAAGTCTTTTATTTTACAATGGTTTTGATATTTATAAAATTTATTTTAATTGTATTTAAAAGTTTAAAATTTGTTTATATTTTGACTTGTATGAAAATTCAAAGCCAAAACACGTTTGTTATTTTTCTTCACTAATATTCAGGTCTTTTCTAATAACACCAGTTTTTGAATTATTAACTTCTGATGAACTGAAAAATTAATTTATGATGCACAATGTTGAGAAACAGAAATAATGCACAACCAAACTATAAATTATTTTTGTGCCATGTAAATATTTTAAAACTCTTTGAGACATGTAGATCTTTTGAAAGATTTTTGAATGATATTTTGATTACTTTTCACTAAATTACGTCATCAAACATATTATTAAAACTTAGCTTTAATATTTTTAAAAATGTTACCTACGTCTAGGTTTCCTTGTCTCATGTTACACTTAGTTAATATTTCTTTTATTGATAAAGGTATTGATATCATGTGCCTTTTTTCCTAAAATATAAATAAAAGATTATTTTTGCTCAAAAATATTAACTCTTCCGTCCAGTTTATGAGCTATTGTTGGTGGTTTATCAATACAAAAGTTTTATGAGTAATTATAAGGCTTGAATAGCTATAAGAAAATATTGAATACATTACTAGGTGATTCCGTCCAATTGGCCTTGAAAAGTTAGGTGCTTAATTTATTAAAATGTGGTAGGTTCCGTCCAGAGGTTGTGAACTATTATATTTACTTTGACTTTTAGAAAAGAAAGTTTATCTTGATGGTTAGGAAAGATAGAAAGTTTCTTATTTAAATTATATAGGTATTTTTATATATAATACGTATGGGTAGGAAACAAAGGAAGTTGCAGCTGCTTTAATTTTTAAGGCATGATTAAAAGAAATAAATTAGGTATAATTCAATCTATATTCACATATTTTGAATTATTTCCATACTTATTTGAAATGAAATAATTTTAATAACAGCAAAATGTTTAATTTTTTCATATTAGATTGGAGAGTATATTTGTTTTCATCAATTTACTTCTTTGACAATGCCTTGTCGTCAAATCATTCTTAACAACTTTTCTTCCACCAAATATTATATTGAACATTGACCTTTTTGATTTTTTATGAAAATTTTGTTGAACTTATAAATCTTCCATCACATTAATGCTGGGAAATATTATTAAACTTACCAATCAGTAATAAATTGAAAATTCATTACACTTTGTTGAGTTGAATTATGTTCTATTGGAAATTTTAAATAACTTTATTCTTTTAACTTTTTAAAATTTCAATCATAAATACTAATTTTATAGAATGAGTTTGGATTTTACACAATGAATTGTTGATAAACTAAAACAATAATATGGTCTCTATCCCAATCCTTCTAGTCTTTATAATATATACATATTTAATAGTGTGTATAAAAACAAAAATCTATTCATATAAATTATACAAAAAATTGTTCTAACCTGTGACTATGATTAGAATATGTTGATTGATTAAGAGTAGAATAATGTAGGATTTAGCTAAAGGAAACAATTTTATTATTTAAATAACTATGGTTATGACCCTAAGCAGTATTATGGATTTTTCAAGTTATTTTTTTTAAACAAATCTTTGAATTGTTCTATAAAATATTCACAATGCTCTATGTTAATTTGTAAACAACTCTGAAAACTGTTTAAATATTTTATGTATCACTTTTTGTTCATTAGATTAGATAAATAGTTTTAAATTTGAGAATTTTACAATTTTTTGAATAGTCTGAAGTTGGTTGATGATTGTAAAACATTGTTATTTGTACTATGTTTTAAGTGGTGAAACCAAAAAATACCAGTCATGTCACTAGTCTTTAGCTTAGCTGTATCATAGGAGTATACTGAATATAGATATTTATGTTTAAAATTGTTTTAATATGTATTAAAATCCTTTAGAATCCTCTAGTAGTTTATAGAAATGACTATATAAATCATATTAAACATTTTAGATTAATCTATGATATGTTGAACTCTTTATGCGTAATAACCTGTGAAAAAAATTTAAAAAGAAAAGTAAGATTTGGTAAAAAAAGATATCTCTAAACAGGTGAATTCATCAAAAAAAAATTCTTTTACGATTCTTGATCAACAGATCTTTTCTACTAATAATGTAAATTATAGCTCATGCTAATTTCAAATATGTTCAATCAGATTCAAAACTGGAGTTCACAGTGATCACATCCAGTTCTCTATTCCAGGAGTTTACAAATTGGATGATACGGCACATCAGGGTATACGATTATATATATTAATATTATGATTTATTTTAGATTGTATTTATTCATCATATAATGGAAATATTGCTTATAATTATTATTAAAAACCCATAATTTGTTTTTAGTTATTCACACACTACTTGAAACAATCTTGTGTACCACTGATGGTTCAGATCCCCCAGTTTAAGGATAACTGATTTAAGATTGTGATATGTCTCAGCGATACAATACTCTTTGTCGGTATCATTGCGGATTATGATGCTTTGTGTGACTGCTATAATCCAATAGCTAGTAATACAATTGTATTGCCATATCAATGGCATCAGAAATATTGTATCCCCGAGACATATCGCACTGTGTGTAGGAGACTTAAGGCTTTTTAGCTCACTTTCAAATAAATTAATAGCACTTTTTGCAATTTGTATTATAAATTTCTTTTTAAACTTTCTAAAATTAAAAAAAAAATCAAATTTGAAGTTTATGATTCTTAAACTATAGTTAAATTGTAGTACTTGTTTTCCTCTTGTTGGTATTGCCTCATATAGACCTCCGATTCACCATTTTTCTGGTCAACCTCTCCCCTCCTTTCCAATGGTACATGCTTAAGTGTCTAGTCCAATAAAATTAGGGATTGACCCCAACATTAAAAAAATAAAGATCAAACTTGTCTGAAATTGTTCATTACCTTCCTCATAATAACTGGTAAAAAGTCCCAAGGAGGAGGATGGGCAAAAAACTGGTATTTTTTTAAGGAATATCTCAAAATACATAAGGTCTTCAGCTAAGATTGTTATAGTTGTTGAACAAAATTGTTGATATTAAAGTACTTAAAATTTCTGTAAAAATGATCCAAAACATTTTTTTGACCAAACTAATGGTGATGGAGGTATTTATGAGGTTATATTTATTGCATTTTCACTTTAAGCAAAAAATGCTCCAAAGCACGAAATTGAAGTTATTCATAGTAGGTGATACATTTTTGAAGTTTAATTAGTTTTTTTAACATTTTCGATCTTTCAAATTATTATTCAAAGTTTCTTTCTTTTAATGATTCTTGAAAGTCCAATGACAACAGAATTATATAAATTTTGTGATTTTTAAGCCAACCACGTTTTATGTTGAATAAAAAACAATAACTAAAAATATATTTAATTTAGATGACAACTAATTACTTTGTAGTAAACTAGATTAAATTGACATTAAATTCAAGTAAATCTTGTCTTTTTTAAAAACCTTTAAAGGGAACTTTTAAGCAGTTAAACGACGGTAAGTTCAGGTTTCCATAAAATCAAGGATTCTTCAGGATTAATTTTGTTAGCTGCCAACTGGGCTGAAGATACCACATTTTCAGAAAAACTTCCTTGTTTTAGGGGCTTTAAAGTCTATATTAATTAACTTGTGGTTTGTTACAAAGTTGAGATTCATCCCTAATTGAGTAAAATTATTTAGATTGATTCCTAATTTTATCTTACTAATAATATTTCTACTCATTTAGAGGAAACTTGACTTAATTAATATTGACCTAAAGCTCATCAACCAAGAATTTTTTTTCGAAAGTGTGGTATCTTTAGTCCAGTTATGGGTCTACAAAATAAATCGCGAAGAACTCTTGATTTTATGAAAACTCGAACTTACCATAATTTGACTGCTTAAAAGTCCTCTTTATATGTTTTTAAAAAAGACAAGATTTACTTGCATTTAATGTAAATTTAATCTAGTTTACTTTGAAGTAATTGGTTGTAACCTAAATAAAATATCTTTTTAGTTATTGCTTTTTATTCACATAAAACTTGGTTGCCTTAAAAATTACACAAATTAAGTTTCCTGATTCTCTGTATGTAATCAAACCATGGTCTATCAAAGATCTTCTATCACAGATTATCAATTATTTGAAATTAATTTAAATTCTAAACATAATATCATTATCACGAAATTCCCCATTGATTGATAGCAAATATAATTCTGGTGTCGATGACTTTTATGAATCATTAAACAAAAGAAACTTTGAATAATAATTTGAACGATCGAAAATGTTTAAAAAAAATAATTAAACTTCAAAAATGTATCATCTACTATGAACAACACCAATTTAGTGCTTTGCAACAATTTTCGCTTAAAATGAAAATGCAATAAATATAGTCTCATAAATAAATATCTCTGTAATCATTGATTTTATAAAAAAAAGAATGTCTAGCAGTAAAGGACTTCAGTGGGAGTTTTGGACAGACAAAAAAAGAAAAAAACTATATAGGGTCATTTTTATAGAGATTTAAAAGTATTTTAATATTTTAGTCTTTGTGAAAAACCTCATAGTTTTTGAGATATTCTCAAAAAAACACCAGATTTCTGTCCCCCCATCAAAACACGAAACGGGATTCTTTAGGACTTTTTGTCAATTATTAAGGGGAGGATAACGAACAATTTATGACCAGTTTCATTTATATTTTTGGATGTTGAGGTAAGGCTGTTTTTCCCTCTAACTTTACTGGACTGATCATTTCAGGCCATCTCTTGCCTGTCATTCTCAGAATGTGCTTAAACTAACTCAGCTTTTTTGTCTTAATGTAGTTGAGGATGTTAAGGGATTCTTCTACTTTTCTCCTAATGGAATTATTTGGACTGTTTTATTCCAATGAGTTTCTCTGAGATGAAGACTTCTAAGACCAAAAGAAATGGTGGCAGGACTTATTAGGTTATGATATATGACCATATTGCTGTAATAAAGTCATTTATACATAAATGACATTATAACAACACTATGGTCATATATTCATAAGTCATATGGTCATATAACCTAATAAGCCCTGCCACCATTTCTTTTGGTCTTAGAAGATGTATATTTAAAATGAGGAATAGTAGAAGATATATATAAAATGTAGTACTATTCAGCATATCAGTTATTTTCTCAAATATAAAAGAACAAACCAAAAATGTTTTATTTTTCATACTGTACAATGGATGTAATAATCCAGGAATCCAGCAATTCATTGCCCTAAAACTCCTGACCTATTACCTTTCATACCGAACAACACATGTACATCAAATTCCAATTGAAAGCAAAGAATCACAGGCACAACAAATTTAAATATGGCTTTGAATGCTGGAAAAAAAGGAGAAAACGAATCATCCAGGTTATCCCATCTTTACTAGGCAACATAAATAACAAAAATGGTTGTAGAGCAGGTATTGAATAAAGAAACAATGTCTTAAACAGTTTTTATGTATTGTAGCTGATACTCCTTAAAACTAAATCTATCACCATAGGAGTTCACTTTGAAATAAATAAAACCAATGCCTATTTACATTTGATTGTATTTTATAATATAAATTTTAACAAATCATTATTTGTGACAGAATTGTACAAGTTTTTTATTCTACAGATATATACAAAGCAATCACATACTTTTTATTGAAATTAAATAAGAAAAATTTAATTTAAAAATATACTTCATTTACACTGAGAAATTTTGGTTATTAAAAATAGTTTAAAACTACATTCTTAATGAGAAGCAACCAAATACTCAAGAGTTATTTGATATGTATCAATTAACAGTAATTGCTAATCATAATATATAAAGCACAAAACTACGTCAAACACACAAAAAAAACGAGTTCATACTTAGGCCTCGAAAAAAATGAATTCTAGTCATTTAATGGAATATTGTAAAAAGTATTACATAAGTTACATATTATAAATTTAAATGAATAGAAGAGACTAAGCATTTTACACAATTCTGACTTATTTTGTAAAAATATTATCATTATTGTTTATTCTCTACCACAATTTATAGTTCTTAGCAGTTTTTTGGTCTTTATTGATATCTATTATAATAAGTACTAAATTTATATAGAATGTGAGGATGACTAATAGTCAAAAATGTAATATATCTTTAATTTATATCTTAAAAATCAAAAACATAAATAGCATATTCATAAAAGAATTATAGACATACACATCCAATCACACACGTGTATATGTATATACATATCTATAACTAATAAATATTACAATCGTTTAAGATAGTTTTTTTATCACAGCTATCATTGGCACCAATATATGCAAGAATGCGATTGTTATATTGCTAATGATGTATAAAATAGAAGAGATCAAGAAAACATTACCATTTTTCAATAATCCACTATTAAAATTTTTTTTTTTAACTTGTATTTATTGAAAAGGGAAGGGAAAAAACTAAAAACAAATGTCACAATTTTGATAGTTTAAAATATCTTGTACAAATATAGAGATTTTTATGGACTTAAGTTTGAAGAAAAACATACATCAACTGAAGACTGTGTAAGGAGATTTTTAAAAAAAATTTTACTCGGTCAAATATAAACACAACGTAACATAAAAAGAAATGGAAATATAGAGTATGTGTTTTGGGAGTGAGTACATAATCATCTCATTATTTCCAAATCCTTTGTTGTTTTTTCTGAACAATAAACGTTTTATTTTAAAAAAAGGTTTATCATTATTTTCAAACCCTGATGTTTTAAAAACACCTGAATGTAAAATATAAAAAGTATTCAATCGATTTATTCAATCATGTTCCACATCCTACATATATGACTATCATTAAAGATTGTAAGATATGAATCTCAGACGTTATGATTTTTTTTTTATGATTATACCTTTACAAAATAATCCTTTAGAAAATAATTATTTTGTTTTTACTCCACAAAAGTGTACTGCTTGAGTAATAAGTCTTCCAAATACCTTGTACTCAATTACCCCTTAAGGTGAGGAAATGCATAATAGGGATAACTAAATTGAATTATCAATGTCATAAAAATGTACATAATTACAACAGGGGTTAGAATATAATATTTAAGACATAATTGTCTTGGGAATATTTTTCAAAATAGAAGAAAAATATACCTTCAAATATAAATATTTTAACTTTGTAAAAACTACTGTGCACTTATCTCAAATTACATTATTATCGGTGTTATTTTTCAAAACCTTTCAAATGAACTAAGTAAATCAAACCACAATTATAAAATAATAATTTAACTTTTTTCCACACATTTTGTTAATCATGTAATTCTATAATTAATATTTTATTACATTACTGAAATGGCTGAAAGTATTACAAGCATAAATAACTTTATATATAAATTGTAATATAATAGAAAATGTGTAAAATTAATCATGACAGGCTTAAATAGTAGCGGGAAGAAAATAGTGACGTCATCAGAAAATGAGGTGGAGCAATATGGGAGGAGAGACCAGGAGTTTGCGCAGGCAGGTTACCAGCCGGCAAGATCTATAACCTGTCTTGTGATGTAGTTAAGTCAGAGGTTAATCTACACTATCGGGACATTTTTCAAAATAGTTTTTTTACGCTTATGAATAGTTAATGAATTATGTGTTCACAAATGTTAGTGTTATTTTTTCTTACTTTTATTACTTTGGTCTCTTCTGGCCCGGAAGAAAATGAAGGGGTTAAATATGCAAATAAATGTGAAGTTTGTAAAATCTTGGCTACTGAATTAGAAAATCGACTTGAAGAAACTGGAAGAACCAATGAAATTCTTGAGATAGGATATTCGATTGATGATGTTAAGCCGAAAAAAAAAGCTCATTACAGAAAATCAGAACTGAGATTACTTGAATCACTTGATGGGATATGCAATAAAATTCTGGAGTATAATATTCACAAAGAAAGAACTGATAGTACACGCTTTGCAAAAGGAATGAGTCAAACTTTCAAAACCCTTCATGGACTTGTTGATAAAGGTGTTAAAGTTGAACTAGGTATTCCTCATGAGCTTTGGGATAAACCCTCTGTGGAAATAACTGATTTAAAAAGTCAGTGTGAGAAAGTTTTAGAGGAGTATGAAGAAGATATCGAAAATTGGTATTTTCATCATCAAGGAATGGTATCATTAAAGCAATATTTATGTGCAGAAAAATTTCTGAAAGGTTCTCATTATGAATGTTTAAAAGAAGAGCTTCAAGAAAATATAAAAGGTGAAACTAATATACTTCAGAAGGCTAAGAAAGATGAATTATAATTACATTTGAAATTAAGTTATTGAGATTGTAATTCTTTCAAAATAAATGTTTTTATCTAAACAAAAGAGGAATGTGCTTGATCAAGCAGGTTTTTGAGGCAGCAAGGAATGAGGACTTGGAAGAGTCCACAATTGAGAGTATAGAGAAGATACATGTAAAAGGTTCCTGTTTAGCGAACATTCATAGGAGGAAGTTTAATTTATCATAGTAGAAATATGTGCAGTGGAACATTTACTATCAGGAGAATGACGTACGAACACTAGGTGCTACCACCAATCAGTTTGGAGGGGTTACAAAAACTAAATAAGCTGTTTCGTCAAATGGATAAACCCAAGCCCAACCCATACAATTAAGACATTTTTAAAAATGAGTTTTATATGTGTATATATAATTAATATTTAAATTTAAGTGTAATATAATTACAGTATAAAATTGTTTTATTTAGAATGAGTGGTAAGTTGTCCGAACTCTATCTAATTAATATTTTTATTGTTTTAAAGTATCTTTTGTACATAGTATACATAAATATAGTATTGTTATGATAATCTTTGTTTATTCCCATTATAATAAACATAATCTTACAATATATTGGTCTCTCTATGGATGTAAAATCTATTCTTACTTTTATGTTTTATAGAATGTCTTGATGTCAGAATGGTATTAATACAGGGTGAATCAATAATAAATTTAATGAATACATTTACTAACCCATCTTAAATCACATGAATATTTTTGTTAATTTCCCTCCCTAACTCTAAACAGAGAATAGTAACACTCCACTATGATGACAATAACTAATAAGGCTTACTTTCTGCTAATAATGTTATGTATCAGTCATCAGATTGAAACTGGAAAGATGAAACAAGTACAATAGCAGTCCAGAACTGTATCACCGAGTTATTGTATTGTTGTTGTAAACGATACCTTTTAAAAATTCTGTCATAGGTTAAGCACGAGTAAGAATATTCAAAATTAAGTTATTGTTATTGTTGAACAATTAATTAAACTAGTGAAATTAAATGAATAAAATGAAGCTCTAATAAAGTTTTTTTTTCATAAAAATTTCCTTTGATCAACTTCTAACAATGTGTTTATCCATTAATAATAATTTTGAATATTTCGAAGAATAATATTAAATATAAGAAAAAATTGAACATTAAGTTTAAAAAAAAAATAAAAACTTGATATTATGATAATGAAAAATATAGAATTGAAATATAAAACCTTTTTATTAATAAAATTATTTTAATGAATGACAATGTCAAATGATGACAATTGTTATTATAATTAAAAATTCATATTATATAAGTTTAAAAAAGAGTTTGTTTATCAGTAGCAGTCTGTATAGAATATTAACAGTATATTCATAATCTAACAGTATATAGAAATTAAGAATAAAATATATTCTATGTTTTTTTTTGTGATTACACATCGCTCATCCTATGCAAAATAATAGAAGTATGAGGTAACTGAAAAGGATAACATTTTATAGGAGAGGCAAAATAATTAAAATTATTATTATATATATCACATATTTTTAAAAATTGATTGTTCCAATGTTAAATTATTCTATCCATTCAATTTTTTATTATATTATACTATGACTTCCATTTGATTAAACACGTCTTTCTGAAAAATTAATAAAAATGTTTACAGTTGTGTCGTTCCACCGGATGAGTCATATGTATTACTGAATTCTTTGGTCAAGTGATGCATCTTTATTTTCTTCTAAAATTTGTAATTATGATAAATGTGATTATTAACTAGAATCAGATACCTAGACATTACATCATATATCTAAGATTAATAATTAACTGATTCAAATTTTACTAATTATGTATTAATTTAATGAAAAATTATTTAAACTATAACAGTTATTTATAAATAAATTACAGAATAAATATCACACATAGATTCTTAAATTATTTGATTTTCTATAACTGAATTCAATTTCAGACTAAAAAAAAAAAAAAAATCAAAAGAATTACATTGATTGTGCTTAGTTTTGTTGAAAATCAGGTGTCACCAAACATTTGTGGTTATCAACATCTAAAATAATCTTGTGAATGTGTTCTTGACCCCATAAAATTTATATTTTTATAGTTTGTGGATTTTGGTAAAAAATTTATTTCTTGTGGTTATTATGTGTAAAAAGCTTAACTAGAATAGATTTTTACTTTCATACCTTTACTAGGTAGGAAAAATATTGTGATCAGACCAAATTTCCAATGTGCTGTTTTCAGCGGATCTTTACGTTTCAGAGTAATCTAAGTCCGAAAGACACATTTTTTTGTAATTATAAATTTTAAACTACTTTTTACATAATAAATAATTAGTTTGTTTTGGATAATTTAAGCTAATGGTATTTATTGGCTAAAGATAGTGATGGAGTGATTGTTTTGATGACGACTAATAAACATATTTTAATGTTACATGTTAGGATCAAATAATTAGGGTATTTTATTTTTATTAATGAAAACATAATAATTTTCATCTGATCATGATGAATGTGATTCTTAGCAAGATTGACAATCTTTCTTCAAAATAAATAAGTTCTAGCCTTAATTCGCCTTCAAATTTCACATTAAATATAATTAATAGTTTTTAACTTATAAATAAAATTCATCAAAATAATAATCAAAAATATATAATAATATTATACCATATTAGAATATTTTATATACAAATTTTTGACTAAACAAAATGTTGTATTGACTCTCAGGAGTCCATATCAATCCCTTTGGTGACTTCTTATGTAAATCAAGGTTAAAAAAAACTTTTGGCTACATTGAATTAAAGTTGAACTTGAAGCTTATTGCACATGTGATATTTATTTGTCATTATAATTAAATTTCAATGATAATTAAAATATTACTTACATTTCAGTACATTATATTATATTAATTAAGTTCTTTATATACATATTTAGTTAAGGTCACCATGAATAACTCATAATAAATTATTTAACATGAATTTAAATGAATATGAATGAGTGAATACTTTAAAATAAACATACATATAAGGGAGTAGCTAAGCCCCAAGAAGTTTTTTAACTGAATAACCAGGAAAAGCGTAAAAGAAAAGAAAAAACATCATCATGACAGCCAAAAAGAGGAAAAACTTCAAGATTCGCCATTTGTAGTTATGCCAAACTATGTAGCGTATTGATTTCAATGGATTTAGGAACCACATAAATGATGCATCAGGGCGACTGAAACATAAATAATTATTAATGGTGCAGAGATAGTTGACCATGACTATAATTTGAGAAGTAGTTGATCGGGGGTTCGGTCAATAAATATTACCAAAGATTATGATAGCATTTTATTGGATTTGCTGATGTTTTGACCTATGTGTTAGGTTCTCATCAGGGTTACAAAAGATAAAAATAATAAATATTAATTGGTTCAATGTAAATTACAATTATAATTACCTTTATAACATTGTACCAATTAATGTTTATTTTTTGCATCCCTGATGAGGACCTAGAACATAGGTCAAAATGTCAGCAAATCCAATAAAATATTATCATAATCTATAGTATTATTTATTGACTACACTCCCAATCAACTCCTTCTCAAATAAATAATTATTACATTAGTAAAAACTGTTGTGTTTAACCCTCCCTCCCAAAAAAACCCAATGTTACATATATATATATATATGTATATATATATATATATATATATATATATATATATATATATATATATATATATATATATAAAATTAACTTACTTTGGTTTTTCTAATGGATCAGGTTCATTTCTTCCCAGGCCAGCTGGGTTTTTATCAGCTTCTTCTTGGCTGAGTAAATGTATTTCAGCTTCTACTTTACCCTATACAATAGAATAATGGTTAAAAACTATATATAAATTTAATAACATAAAAAGATGAATTGATTCAGATCTATAATACTAAACATAGCTCTAAAATTTAACATACCGTAAGTTCCATTTCATCATTTTCTTTTTTTACATAAAATGGCCACCACCCTTTGACCCTTTTTGCTTTAAAAATGTTCACCATTGGAACCGAGCCGTCTATTTTAAGCATGTCCAGCGTGCATAATTTTGCCGACTTGGCTCCTCTTGGAAAACAATTTAAATCGAGTGTAATAGCACCTAAAAAAAAAAAAAAATATACAGATATACCTGAATTTAATTCATACTTTTTTATTATAATATAATTGATTTTTTTCTTCTTCTTTGTCTTCCTCACAATGCCATTTCAAGTGTCGAGGAGCCTCTATCCAGCGCAGCCACTCTTTCCGGTTTCTGCTTAACCGCTTCATTTGGTTGAAGGATTTGCCTCTTCTATCTCCGATTCTCTGTATGAACTCTTGATATGAAACTCTGAGATGCCCTCGTGGTCTCTTCCCTGTGGACCAATCCTCTAACACCTTTATATGGTCCATATCCTAGTTCATGCGGCACAAGGTCCAACATGTCCAACGACATGTTGACATGAGTTCAGGCACTTCCAGCTGTTCTGTGATAGTTTCATTTCTAATGCGATCCCTCCTAGTTTTCCCACCAATCTATGTAGGAACCATATTTCCATTGCTGTTGAAGGTGAGAATAGGCAGGCACACTGACTTATAGACGTGCATCTTGATCTTTTTATCCAGTTCATGGTTGCTGAGGATACTGCTAGCGATCTGGTAGTATGCTTGATTTTCCTTGGATATTCTATACGAAATCTGAGCATCTATCTTACTAGAGTTAGTAATTACGGTACTTAAGTAGGTGGAATTCTTCTCTACCTCAAGAATTTCTCCGTTGCACAACAATTGGACGTCTTCCTGTTCTTCTCTCACCATGAACATCATAATAATTGATTTTAATAAATTATATTTCATTTTAAAATATTTTAGAGGAAAAAGATGATGTGAAATAGGGGTCATAAGAAACTTAAAATAGTGAAAACTATTTTAAGTTTTTTATGACCCCAACCCCGGACCATCCCTTTCCTTTATATTATACTAGGGTCAACCATAGAGTATTCAATAAAGTGTTTTAGAATACATAGGCAAATTATGTCAACAAAACAATTTTCTTTTTTGAATTATGCACTTGCATAGGGTATATGGCAGCACATAATTGGCCTCAATGACATCATGATTCATGTCTGTAAATTTAAGAAAATAAATTTTAAAATGATATAAATACAGATGCTTATGTACCTCCAATCATAAAATACATATTAGTATAATAGAGTTCCACCAATATGGAGTAGATAAGACCAAACCAGTTTGGATCACAGAAAGTCCAGATTAAATGGTGGCTTAGTAATGCATGATATGTATATTTTACCAATTCCCCCCTCTCCCTCCCTCATTGAAATACCATTTCCTTCAACTGGATTTTATTTTCAATACTACATAATCTATACATAGACCTCAGTTTTCAAACTATGAATTACGATTGAATTAACAAAACAAAACATCGTTGGGATTAAAACTCATAATTTATTTATTTTATAGTATGACAAAACTGTCCACTTTCTATTCATATTAAAATGAAAAAAATTTTTTTTTGCGAAACATGGGAATGTATTAGTGGATTGTTGCAAAGATTTTCTGAAGTTGTAGCAGTGCAATAAAGAAGAACAATTTCATGTGATCTGATAACAAGGATGAGTATATCCAGATCAAGTCAAAACTTCTTAAAATTACTTTCATTTTTACCTTACACTAATTTTTAATTACCTTTCAAAAATCTCATTCAGAATTATCACATAATTTAGGAGTGGGATCATGTGTGAACATTGATAAAAGTGAGGTTAATTTTTCTTTGAAAATCTTTTTGACAAAATCTTAGAATAAATTAACAGTGAAAACTTTTCTTTTTGTTGCATTCTGTTGTTGAAACCAATTAGCTCCAAGAAATAGGAACTCCACACCTCGGTGTAGCGGTTTCACCGCAAACGATGCCTGAGACGTCGATATCTGCCAGTTCTACAGAAAATGTGGACGCTTTAAACTCAAACCAAACTACTGAAAATAATTGGGAACTCGTTACAGGAAGAAAACGCTCAATGGACAATAACAGAGACCCAAGAAAAGCTAAAAAGGTAAGTGAAGTTACAACAGTAACCACTAATAGTTTTGAAGTTTTAACTAACATTAGTGAGGAGTCTGATGCTACCACTAAGCAACCAGTTTCTGTAAAACCGCCCCCTATCCACTTGAATGATGTACAGAACTACACCGAACTGGTCACATTTCTCCAAAATGTAGGAGGTTTGAACAGCTTTAACCTAAAATCCACATCAAGAGGAGTAACCGTATATCCTGAAAACTCTGACACATATAGACGTATAGTAGCTAACTTAAGACAGGTAGGTGCCGATTTCCATACCTATCAGTTAATAGAAGATAGAAATCCAAGAATCGTATTAAAAAACTTACACCATGCTACTCCAATTGAAACCATAAAATACGAATTAAAATGCCTAGGCTACGATGCCACAAGTATTGTGAACGTTATTTCCAGATACAAAAATCCACTTCCCATGTTCTTTATCGATATCTCTAAAGCCACATTTAATGAAAAAATTTTTGATATCAAATTTTTATACTATACTAGAGTGAAAATCGAAGAGCCAAGAAAGAAAAGAATGATTCCACAGTGCACCCGTTGTCAGCAGTATGGCCACACAAAGGCTTACTGCAATCACTCCCCGAAGTGCGTGAGATGTGGCCAAGGACATGATAGCACCGTCTGCACAAAGACAAGAGAGACCGCAGCAACATGCGCGAATTGTAGCGGATCCCATCCAGCAAATTATAGAGGTTGTGCAACTCTAAAACAACTGAGGGAAGTACGCAATCTCCGTAAAAATATACAAAGTCCCCAAAAAGCACAAACTAGCGCACCCCCATGTATAGACGAGTTTCCTTCTCTTCCGCAAAGTCAGCATACCGCAAATTCAGGTTCTTCAAAACCCGATTCTCAATATCTAGGACCAAAACTGCGAACTTCTCCTACAGAAGTCCCAGAAAATCACCTTCACCAGCCAAAGCATCCAGAAATGAAAAAGGGCATTACTCAACCGCCACTACCGACTTACAATCACCCGGCTTCAGCTCAGCTCTTCAACTTGGTAAGTGGATTGAATAACCTCATCCAGCCTCTTTTCAGCCTTCTCCAAGAACTGTCTCACGTTGCACAAGCCTTATCCTCCAGTTATGGCTACTAATCGGCTGACAGTGGGCTCCATGTCCGTTCTTCTCTGGAACGCAAATGGTATAAACCAACACAGGACTGAACTTGACATGTACATACATGAAAAACGGACTGACATTGCTCTCATCACTGAAACACACTTGACTCCACATTCTAAATTTTACATTCCAGGCTACAAAATATATAGAACTGACCACCCTGATAAGACGGCACATGGCGGTACGGCAATACTGATTAAGCAATCACTAAAACACAACCCTTTACAATTACCCATTACACCTGACATACAATCCACAGCAATTACTCTGTATACCCAGCACCATACCATTACCTTCGCTGCAGTGTACTGCCCTCCGAGATACGTGCTAACATCTGCAATGTTTTACAATTTTTTCCAACATCTCGGTCGGTGTTTTATTGCAGGTGGTGATTATAATGCCAAACATCAGTCCTGGGGATCACGACTCTGTACTCCTAGAGGAAGAAATCTAAAGTCTGCCATCGATCAGCTTTCATTAAACACGATCTCACCTGATACACCTACTTACTGGCCAACTTCAAGACAGAAAACACCAGATTTACTTGACTTTTTCATTACTAAAGGACTCAGGACAGTGCCGTATACTGTAACTGCAAGCTCTGATCTTTGTTCTGATCATTCTCTTCTCAGTTTGGTACTATGCGATGAGCCTCGTACTGCATCAAAAAAACCAACACTTACAGATAGGATAATCGATTGGAAAGCTTACAGCGACTACTTAAATTCGACGCTATCAATCCCAATGTCCCTTAAGACCGAAGAGGAACTCGAAAAAGCTGTTGATAAGTTCACAATCAGCTTACAACAGGCTGTATGGTCATCATCTGTACCAAGACCTAGCAGAAATACGTCTCTTCCAATCTATCCGCAGTACATTAGAGACCTGATCAGAGCAAAGAGAAGAGCGCGCAAAGTGTGGCAGACTGGTCGACTTCCATCTGACAAACGGACTTTCAATAGACTTAACAATGAACTTAAACGACAGATTCAGAATTTTAAAAGAACGAACTACGACAATTACCTCAAAAATCTTTCGACTGACGATGGAAGCTTATGGAGACAGACTAAGAAACTTGTAAAGCATTGTGAGGTGTCATCACCACTCCGAAACGTAGATGGTTCCTGGGCTGTGTCAGACCTTGAAAAATCTGAGCTCTTTGCCAACCATCTTTCTTCTGTTTTCATACCACATACTGACTTCTCTAATACTGATCACGAAAGACATGTACAAAACACTTTAGACATTCCTTTACAACTGTCATTACCTCCACTTTACTTCACTCCCACTCAAGTTGCAGAACAAATCAGACAGTTACCTAAAAAGAAAGCTCCCGGTCATGACCTGATAAATGCTCAAGTGCTCCAGAAAATGCCAAGGAAAGCTCTAGTATACCTAACATCAATTTATAACGCAATACTCAGAACGACTAAATTCCCCTTACAATGGAAATACTCATTCATAAAAATGATTCACAAACCTAACAAAAACACTGACTTTCCTTCATCATACAGACCCATCAGCTTGCTCCCATTATGCTCTAAAATCTTTGAGAAACTTCTCTACAAACGACTTCTTGACATACTGACTACTGAAAACATAATACCTGAACATCAGTTTGGATTTCGTTCACACCACTCAACCATTCATCAGCTACACCGAGTGACAGACTACATTGCGACAGCACTAGAGCACAAATTATATGCAACAGGAGTATTTCTGGATGTTGCTCAAGCGTTCGATAGAGTCTGGCATCAGGGACTTCTTTTCAAACTTAAGACTATACTCCCTCCAACCTACTATCTTATTCTTCAATCTTTTCTTTCTGACAGATTTTTCTCTGTTTGCCAAGGTACAGAACTATCTACCATTAAACCAGCCCTAGCAGGGGTGCCTCAGGGGTCAGTACTCGCTCCTCTGTTGTATATTATTTACACATATGATATTCCAGATCCTCTCTATACTCTGACCGCGACTTACGCAGACGATACAACAATCTTGACAAGACATCAAAATTCAGCATACGCCTCACAGACTTTACAATATCACCTAAACAATTTCTACGACTGGTGCAAACTCTGGAAAATTCGACTCAACCTTGACAAATCACAACATATCACTTTTACCCTTCGACGTGAAACTTGCCCCCCTATTTACCTTGACAATATCCAAATTCCTCAGACAGACAAAGTTCAATATCTTGGACTGACCTTTGACCGAAGAATGACATGGGGCCAACATATCAAAAACAAAACAAAAACTTTAAACCTAAGACTACGCCTATTGTACTCACTCCTTGCAAGAAATTCGAAATTAAAACTTAGACAGAAATTGAATACATATACTTACCTACTCAAGCCTATTTGGACCTACGCTTTACAGATATATGGGACAGCCAAAAAGACTCACATACGTAAATTACAGACTTTTCAATCTAAAACTTTCAGGACTATTACCAAAGCTCCCTGGTACGTCAGTAACATTACTCTACATAAAGACTTACAGATGCCAACAGTTAACGACCACATACGAACATACTACAAACGATTCCATAATAACCTACACGGACATACAAACTCATTGATTCGAGGCATGGCCACAACTAACATGCCCGATAGCACCCGAAGGAGGCTTAAAAGAAGCTGGATGAGGGATCTCCTCCACTAACTAGAAATATTACGCTCAAGACAGGAAGGACGCCGCTGGGTACTCCTCTCCCTCACGCCTATTCCAAGACCAATCTCTTCATCTTGACATCACACTCGCTGATTGTCGGAACTTCTGACAGGTGTGAGTTGAAGAATCAAGTCAAAAAAAAAAAAAAAAAGAATTATCACATGTCTGAATGATTAGGGTATGGATTAATAGGTATTTCAGTGTAGTTCTCGACAGAAATTTAGGACTACTTTATCAAATAAGATAAGAAAATATTGGAATGCCCTCATATCAAAGACAGACATTGGTTATTTTTAAAAAGTTGAGAAAAAGCCAATTATTGTAACGTAGCTTGAATTTAAGCCAAATCTAATGATTTATTTTCATGATTGAACTTGAACGTTCTTAAATAAAATCATCAGAAAACATTTTGAGTTGAACCTATAAAACATAAATTGACTTTTTCTTCATTTTCTGAAAATGTCATATCCATCTTTGACATAAAGCCACTCATATATTTTAATGAAATCAGCAACTGATAGTTTTAAATAAATACCTAAGAAATCATCAGCTGAAAAATGATCAGCATCCCAAACTTGAAGCTCCAGACGGGCTGGAATCTTAGATTCCGTTTCGTCCCAACTGAACAGCGATTCTTTCCGTGAAATCACTATCTTCTGCTCTGCAACTAAATACTGGAAAGGAAAAACGAATCGCCAGTTGAAATTTCCCTCTCCTGTTAAAGAACGATAGTGGATATCTGTTGATTGGCAGTCTTCTTGTCCTTTCAGCCATCTGAAGTATAAATTTTATAAATTACTAATACTTAAGCAGTTTTACAAAATCAGAAATAGAATATTCATGGCACTGCATAATAATTGATCAATAAAATAATTATAATTCATAACTATGTAACACATGATTACATACCCTTTGACATAGATATCAGACATCTTTTCGCCTGTGAAAAAAGCATCATCTTCCAATACAACTTCATCAGTATTCCATATAATTACTCTTAATTCATAGGGTTTAGGCTTTCTTGGGGAAATATCTAAAGGAGGGCCTGGTAGTGGCATATCCATAGGAAACATATCCACCCACATCTCTAATTTTCCCTAGAAACATGACCAAATTAAGCTATGTTTCAAACATTTTATTCAATTAATTTTTCATTTATTTTAGTTAAGGTATTTTAACACACCTGTTCTATTCCTGGTTTATCAGGATTATACAAGGGCCTTGTTTCAACATGTTCTGGAACAAGATGACATCCTACCCTTGGAACCTCATGCCAATTGTGGAGCACCCCTAGCGCCATCTCTTCTTCACTTCCTAATAAAAAATTGTTGTTAAAAGTAATGAGTTGAAAAGGACATTGAAAACCTAAATTTTATTGCTTGATATTGATTTTTAAAAAATAAAAACAAAATATAAATGAACATTATGTACTAATAGTTGACTATCTTGTAAATTAAAATATGGTAGAACATTTATTGAGGAAGGTTTTAGGTTTATAACACCATTGGCTTGTAATCCAGAGAAATGGAACAGTAACCATAAATATCAATTAATGTAAAATATTATACTTAATTACACTAGCAAAGTTTCTCATAAATTTTGCTTGCAATCATTAGATAAAAAACAGAGGACAATTTTATGCATATTAGAGTAAACTAAAGAGAAGGCTGTTTTTATCATACTTAGTTCCAGTTGTAGAATCAACCAGTATCTACTTATACTGTAGAAAGAGAGAATTAAAGAAGTAAAAATACAATTTATGAGGTACAGTAAGTTTTCTTTAAAGATTTGATAATAAGAAATGCATTTAGTGACTCTTTTACAATAAACCGACAATATATAATTTAAGTTTACCAAGGATGAAATTGAGGAGCCAAGCTTGTTTATTATAAATTGATCAATTTATTACATTTTATTAATCATTCATTAATTGTTTCAGCACAATACCTTTGACATATACAGCTGATAAAGACTGTGACTGAAGACAGAATGTCTGCCCTCCAACTTTTACTCTGTCCGCTAGATAAACCGGTGGGTCTATCTTGGCATCTTTGCATAGACGAGCAAGCATCTGAGTTGGTTTCATAGGATCACGCCATTGGTTATAGCCTGACCTATCATGGAGAAATAAATAAAAATATTAGGTCTATGTTGAATAGCTGACTGTAGTTGTTTAATAAATAAAATGATAAAATGATATAAATCATATCACTGCCTAAATCTTTGGTTCAAAAGATTCTTATTAAAATGTACACTTATCCCTCAAAATTGAAATGTAATGTTATACTATTATAAAATGAAATGTATTGTTCTCACATATCATATGTACTAGCGATACCACAAGTAGCCCTGTGCCTACTATAGAATCTATTTTCGAGATCTATTCTTGTTTCACCAATTAAATCATCTGCTCCAACTAAATCCCAGTCAACCACTTGGACAGTAAGCATAGAATCTTGAGGAAATGTGGCTTCTATTTCAAAACACCTGAAAGAAATAGTAGGATTCTTTCATTTAAAAACAAATATCATTTAACATTAGGAAACTGAGAAATTTTAAAAATTCACAAGTTTCCTAAAAATCTTTTTTTTTATGGATCTTTATTTTTTATATCTCAAAAGTATTTTTTCATCAGTATGCTATTATATTAAGGCATGTCCTCCAGAAAAAGCAGAGAAAAAGTTATGAGGAAAATAAAACTTTATTTGAACATAGCTCAAAAAGTATACAATTAATGACTTACATACAATAATTTTAAAGGTTTATAAATTCTAATCAAAAATGAAAAAAAAAAATCATCATAGTTGGACCATTATTAGCAAAGACAAAGCCAATAGGAATTTGTATACATGTTTTGTTTATAATTTTCATTAATGAACCATTATAATTCACAGAAAATGTATATTGTATATTTTATAATGTATTATATTTACTTATCATATTACCATTTGGTCACTGACTAATACACCATGCGAATTATTTTCACAGGCTAACAAATATTTCATAATATCAAAAAAGGCAATCAACAAGGCATTCATAATATATAAAAATTGATGGCAGCTAGTACCATTTCTGTAAAATTAAAAGAATTATTATCTTGACAAATCAAACAAATACTTACTTTCCAAAAACAGGATTAAGCTGTTTTGAAATGTAGTTCTCTTTGTCAGCAATTCTCTTATTACCAAGCTGAAGAACAACATATGGATCAGCTTTACCATTCAGGTCCATTGGGTGCAAATCCGTAGCCTTTACTATATATACTCGCACAAGTACATGAATAGGTTCATTAGAAGGAATTCCTTGAAAGAACCCAAGGGCTGGATCGAAACCTAATACGGTTTTATCTACTGTATCTTTAGAAAGTGGCCACCGGTAAATCTTAATGGCTCCCTACAGAAAAGACAAAAACAAAAAGGTGAAATATTTTGAGATTAAAAATAAAAAATTTAACTCAAAGAAGTTTATAGAGTAAATAATGTTTTGTTCTTTGATTTACAATTACCTTGAATATGCCAACAATTCTGCTTTCATCTTCAATTTCATCACCGGTCTTTTTACCTCGATATAGCTCAAAGCTATTCAACCATTCGTTGAAGCCTTCAAATTCAGGTTGAGTTTCTAGTTCGCTACTGTAGATCTGGAATAAATCATTTATGTTTATTTCATTTTTCTAAAAAAAAAATCTATCTATTTTGTTTCAATAATTTATCATATGTACTTAATTCTAGTCAAAAGTCGGCATACAGATATTCTGAAGAAAGTTTGAAACTTTATTATTTATAGTTATTTCTCTGTTATCTGAGCACGTATAGCCTTAATACTTATTGTCTAATAAAAAGTGGTAGATTGTATGATTATTCAATAAAATAAAATAAAAAAAGGAAAAGTTATTCTAGGCTTAAATTTATTAATTAAATAATATTTCTGAAAAACTAACTTTTAGTTTTGATGAATTATTTTCCCTTGGAGACGATGGAGCTTTAGGACTGATTTTTGCAGCAAGTTTTGATGATACTTTTCCTTCCAGTTGAGCAGACATTAACTGAGCATCTTTCCTAGCATCATTACCTTCCTGGAAATCCCATTTTATCAATTTAGCCTTCAAACACATATAATATTGTATAATAATAACAATAGGATATTGTTTTTAATATAAATGGTTCTGCAAGTAGGTGATTTGAACAAGATCATGCTCAACAACCAGGTGGTTTCCCACCTTAATTAATTATATAAATAAGGGCACCCTCTTTATAGAGGCTAAGTGTGCCCCAGGAGGGTCTCCCTACTCCAGGATCAATCCACGGCCAACAAAAGAGAATATCTAAAATAGTATATGTGCCATCAGCCAGATTTGAACCTGGGACCAACATTAGAAGTCAATGCCCTAGCACTGAGATATCCCACTTCCTTAAGTTAATAATATATTAAAAAAAAACACAATGAAACATAGTGCACTGGAAAATTAATAATACACGGTCTAAATAGAAGCAAAAATGAAAATTACTTGAATCATTGCTTCAACACTAGCAAAATACTTAGTCCACCAGTCTTTACTCTCAGCATCTTCTTCCCAACTGAATCCACTGCTAGCACGCTTCCTTCTTTTGCTTGTTTCAACTTTTTCCTCTTTCTTGGCCATTTCTTGAATGCCACCCTAGGGAATTAAGACACAATATACAAAATGTTTTTGTAAAATACAGTATAAATTATGATTATTTCAGGAATAAATAAGATAGTGAAAGTATTACTTAACATGAGGGCTAGCAACTGTTGCGAGTAGTGAGCACTTATGCAAACTTAACAGGGATTGCTGAAAACTAGGAACTGAAAGTTCATTTATGTCACATTTGACTGCACCAATTGTCAGAGGCTTTTACAGAACTTCCGAATTCGGTAACAGACCCTCTATTCACTCCATAATAGAAGCTTATATCCGAATAATGTTTGCAGATAAGGATTTTGAAAAATAAATTTATTTTTAAATGATGTGTCAAATAATTTTTCCACCTTTATTAGTGCTAAACTTCATGAAGTAAGAAAACTGCCCACATCAACTACTAGTCATCTATCTGGAGGATGGATAAATGAGAAACTGTAGAGTGCCAAAGAAATAAAGGTTGACCAACAAAGGGAGACATGTTAGAATAGGTTATGGGAATGTGAGACTGTTTTGGCTGAGCTTGGCAAGTCTTTACCTGCTTTAACATTCTAGAGTCTGGCAGCACTGGTTTGAATCCAGTCTGCATGGATTGAAATTAATTTCACGGTGGACCCATGGAATGGATCTTGACCTTCCCTCTCTGGTTAGAATAGGCTGAATACCCTAGAATACCCTTCTCTATATAGAATATCCTTCTTTCCTCCCCTCATGAATTCCATAAATGGTCAAGTATGGAGTAAAAGAGAAGAAAAAAAAATGTTATAGTAGTGTTTACCTACAAAAGGAATAGATACATCAAGAAACGCTTTTTATATTATCAGAACCATCACATAGGTTTATAAGAACCAAGGACAGGATTTTATCAGGCCTTACCCCAAATCGACCAGATGTCTATGATCTCAGGTATACCTTACTATTCCACCAATGATTGATAGATATGAATTGCAAACCAGCTTTTAATTTTAATGATTTAAAAATAATATTATACTTGCTTAAATGTTTGTATCCGATACATAGCCAGACACTGTGTGACAGCCCTCATGCTAAAATTTTATTCAAATTCATATTAAATTGAAATTCAAGGAGAAGGTAAGTGTAGAAAATTTTCCAATGACTGGGCATTCAGTTTGTCATCAACTATCTCAAAGGCCTGATGTTTGACCATCACAAATTCTTTCTGATTTAAATTAAATAATCAAGGAAAAAAAAAATTTTTTTGTCTCTGACTTTTCTCAGAATAAAGACCACTACAGTTTAGTGGACTCATACATGTTTCTAACCCTTAAGGAGGGTATTATTGCTTCCATGACAAAGTGAATCTACTCATGACAATCACACATAATAAATGATTATTTTGAGAAAGAAGCAGCTTTTAATAGCCCTGACTTGTTATTATGAAATTCTAATTACATTCTTGGTGTGAATATAAAAGTATGTTTACCAGTCCAACTTACATAATTAATTAAAACTGTAGTATCTTTTGGAAGGAGAGGTTCATTTTCCTTACGATGTATTGTGCCATTAGGAATTTGTTGGGATATATTTGCTGTTCTACCTCCGGCTTCTTGTATTTCTGGACCTTTAAACAAGTTTGATGATTTACATTTTTTCAAATCATTTGAAATAACTTTTTAAAAAAATTGAGTATTAATACTAAAATAAAGTTTTTACATAAAAATATTAGGCTTCATAAACTATCCATAGTAATCCTTAAAATCATCTTGGGGAATTCCTATGGACAAGGGTGCGACTACCATCATACACATGGTTATGCAACCCACTATACTATTAGAGATTCCCAATCTCACCAAAACATTTTTGAGCATTCGATCTTGGAAAAAATAATTTTTTATTCTTTAAAAATGTTTTGTAAACTTTTAATATTTAATCATATTTTAAAGTAAATTATTTCCTTTCATACAAAAAGATAATAATTTTTAAAAAATATTCAAAATTAATATCAGATTTAACTTGCCAACAAATTCAATCTTTTGGTTACAACACCAGTAGCCCAGTGTGAGTAGATAAAAGCTAATAAACATTTATGTAACCAACTAAGTAGTCTGAAAATTAAATAATACCAAATATCATACATTTATTTTTTTATTTTTACAAAACTTAAAAAGACAAAAATGAAAAAATTATATAGTTGAAGGAAGTATATTTATTTTTATATTTTCTTTGACTGATCACCCCAACCAATCTTCTCTTCAATTATTCACTACAATCAATCATCAATCTAGAATTATGAAAATTACATACTATTGAAGGTATGTAAGTTAAAAAAACCTATCAAAATAATAATTTGTATAATTACTAATTTGGAAAAATATTTTCCAATGTATATTTTAAGCAGTATCTGCATGCCTATTTTAATCTTTAATGTAAACACTATGTAATTGAACAAAGATTTTTATAATACTTAAATAAATGAATAAATATTAGATATAAATCATAATAAAAATTAGTGGGATTCCAACTAAAAAGGAATTTATGATGTAATTATAATGCAAAATTATATATTTATCTAGGATTATGAAAATATTTCAGTAATTTACTTACTATTTACTCTTTTTTTTTTAAGATCTTGTTTTTTAGGGGGGACGTAAGTGTATCGTTGGACTGAATTGATCATATGTGTTCCAACTAGGGTAAATCTTCCAAAACTTCGACAATCAACTGCTCTAATCGTAAGAGGAGGTTGATAAAGCTCTTGCTCAGGGAGTTCCTAAGAACATCAGATTATAATTGAATATTGGTATGTTTATAAATATTCAGCTGAATCTAGTTCATAATTTAGTAATTTTAAAATGATGTTTTTTCAAAGGAAAATTGTTGGTCTGTGTTTTGTATGTAAACTAAACAATATTATAGCTTATGATTTAACTTTACAAACAAAAGCTTAGAGGGATAGTGAAAATTACTAACCAGTTCCAAATGCTTTACAGGAGTGATGAAATTAGGATTCTTCTTTGCATTAGGAATCACTGATGAATAGAGAATATGGCCAGCACATTCTATATCAACTCTTGGACGATCCACAGTCAGTAAATGAACCCTTTTTAGATCTCGCAAGCCCCAAAAAAGCACTTCAAGCCTAAATATATTTATAAATATAATTATGATTAATATGTTATTAAAAAAAATGATTAATTTTATACTGTAAAAAATAACATAATTGCTTTTAGAAATGACAAGTGATTGGCTGTGACAACTTTTAATGATTATTTATTGTTGGGTGTAAATAAAAACAATGAAAATAAAGATTGTAAATTTTGTATTTTATTAACAAGAAATGGTGGAATAAAATAAATAATAAATATTAAAATATTTTTTATTAAGGTAATAATTTTATATACATAAATTTATTTTTCTAATAAAATAAATAATCTACTAATGTTTATTCTAAATACACAGCAGATTTATTTTTAAAATGCTGGAGAAGATTATTATTGTGCTACTTTCAGGCATTCGGAAATCGTTTAGTTTTTATAGATGCGATGAATATGAAAATGATTCTTTTGTGTTATGGAATCACATATGTTCACACCACTTAGCACTTATATAAATATGCTAATTTATTTATTATTGTATACTTTTCTATTGAATTTCAATAACAATTTTAAAGAAACTTTAAACCTTTAAAACTTTAAATTTGGAATAAACTAAAGTTGAAGTGGAGATGAAAATATTTTAAGAGTGAATATATACTTCACCTATAATTAGCAAGGGTTGGTCTTATCCCTCTGGGAACTGGAAGCACGGGACCGATGTCTTCTTGTGAGTCATCATTGCACGGTTTTGGCAAAGGTAATTCTGGTAGCCCACTTTTTGTTAACTATTAAAATAAAATATAAAATCAACACAAGGAAATGAACTATGAAATCATTTAAATATTATAGTGATAGCAAGATAGTGTGATTATAGTGATTGCACTATAAAATGATTGTTTGGATAGAAAAGTGTTTCTGAAGGAATACTGTCACAGTGATTAAAATAATGTGCAATATATAACAACAATCATAGTACTTTTTTGATTATTATTATAATTATTGTATTTATTTTTTTTGAGAAGGAGCTGGGGAGGAATAAACCTTTTAAATACTTCAAGTAAACTAATGATTGATTATTATATTATAGCTAATTAAAGATTAGAAATACTATTTTATACTTCAAGCATTTCAAATGTTGCTAAGAGTTCTCCTGCTTTTTCTTGACCTCTATAAATCTCAAACCATTCTAAACTAGGAGGAAATTCAGGTTTTTCATAAGGTTCATTTTCTAATTTGACATGTGCTCTTCCAACAGCTCTTCCAATAAATTCTGCCTTGCCCTTTAAATGATTAAATATATGGTTTTAATACTTAAAATAAAATTAAGAAATCCTCGTACCAAATTTTAAAAAAATTACCACTTGGTCCCGGTCAAATATTTCAACGATGATTGTGGGAGGATCACTTTTAATTTCTTCTCTAGTTCCATAGACCAATATTTCATCGAAAACTAGAAGCTCATCCCAGGTTGGACTTAGAGTTTCATCGATCACCTAAGTATAATTATAAAAACAATTAAACAAATATTACAAAATTAAAGAGATTATTCAAAAATAATTATTGATGTTATTCTATATAAGTAGCAATTTATGTGATACAAACATATTTTTAAACAATAAATACTTTTAATGTAAAATATATCTAAATAAAATATCAGAACACCTTTTTCAAAAATAACTTACTTGCGTTGTTTTACAATATTCCCCAACTACAACCCTAGCAAAAGGGTCAGATAATCCTGAAGCATCTGAACCAATTAATGATCTTGCTTGGTACATGTATACTCTTGCTTGAAAACTCTAGAAAATGGTCAATGATGTACAGAGTTTATAATGAATCGTTTAAAAATAAAATATTACTTTTATGATTTCATTTTTTTAATTCATGCAATAAAAATTTAATGTGTTTTATTTTTGTTTGTTTGCAAATAAAGTATCCCAATTATTTATTAGGTGTGATAACTAAGCAGAGTCAACTGTCTTTATTAACATACTCAATCAACTATGACTTTATACTTACATATTTTTCAAGGTAGTGAATAGTTGCCGGAGGCATTGCATGAGGTCTTTCTGCATTGTTGATTTCATGAGATATTTGATATCCTTTTGTGAGACCAGCCACAAAATTCTTTTTATGTTTGACAAGACCCAACCAAAAGTATATGTTTAGTTTAGCTGGAACACACCAACCTCCTGTGCCTATACCTTTCTTACCCGGCAACTAAAAACATATAATAATTAATTTTATCAAGGATAATGGCACATAAACTTGCTGTATGAAAAAAATATAACATATAAAATATTAAAATAAATATATTAATAACTAAAAATAAAAACATAATTGTAAGAAGTGCTGTAATATAGCATTAAACTGTTATAATTTGTGTATAAACTAAGTAATTTTTTAAAGAGTTAGATTAAAAATATATTTAAAAAAAATAGGATAAGGATTCATGTTATTTTCTCACAAAATTGTTAAAACTAAGAACAGCACAGAAATTGGCAGGATTAAAACTATCATAAATTTACATACTAAATATTTCTGTAAAGTAAATTTAGCCGAAGTTAGCTCTTGAGATCACTAGCAGATCCAAAATTTAATTTTGTGAGGATTCAGCCTAAAAGCTTTATATATATTTGATAATTTCTTTGGAAGAAAAAGAAAGAAATTAACAATCTTTACAAAATGATTCTTAAAAACCTGTTAAAAAAAAATGTAGTTACGTGAATGATAATACTTGTTGGGATAATTTTTTTTTTTCATTATTCATGGTTGTATTTAATAGTTGTATGTGCATTATAGTTTAAAAAAATATAACATCTTTTGATTGTTGAAATATTTAGTCTAGATAAAGATAATACACATTAACAAATATGGACCAATGAAACAAAAATTAATTTTCCATTTTTGGGGAGGAGGTGCTTCAGACCAAAAGCTCCCCTTCCCGTAGATCTCCCTTTGTTTGAGTTCAAAAAAATTTACCCAGAGATATAACCCAAAAAATTAATCTTAACAGGAATTGCATAAAGCAAAACTTTGTTTTAACATGAGTTTTATATTATAAATATTAATGGCCATTCATTGTTGTTAAGTGAAAAATTAAAATAAATTTTTAAGTATTTGTAACACAAAGAATAGTTATTTAACGTAATATATGAATTATTGGAACATATTTCTTTATGTTCTTAATGGGGTTCATCAATACAATAAAACTATGATCAGGACTAGAGCACTTTATTACATTTGAAGTATTAACATCACAGGTACATCACCTCTAGCTTCCCTGCTTACCCAAGCCATACTGAGTTGGCCACATCCCGCCAAAACAGTGTTTCCATAATCCACTTTCCAAACATATATAATAATAGTGGATAGTCCACAACATATTTTATTACACTCATAGTGCGAAAATGAGTTCCCATAAATTTCAGTTATAAGCTTCCATTGAATTTAATATCAAATGTTGATCTGCACATCATGCTAAGAGCTCAAGATTTATTAAAAAAAATAATTAAGTTTCCGCCATTATTTTACTAACCCTAACTATGTTTTTAAACGAACATTTACCTTTAGAAAGAGCGACTGAACTTTTGAGCATCTATGTCCACATTCTTCATCTACTATCGAGTATATAATTTCTCTTGCTTGGATTCTTTGGTATGCAGTTCTTTTTCCATTACTAATTAACCATAAAAACACATCTGGAAGAGAATGCTGAGGCTGAAAATAAATAAATTTTATTTTATTTTTAAAACTGTTCGAGCTGTTCACGTCAATATCTAAATAAAACAATAAAAATTTATATGACAAAAGTGGATCTGACAAGAGGTGGGATTGTCTGAAGTAATGGGAATGTGGGATTGTAGATCAGGCTCTATACGCAGTCATCTTATCCTATTTAGTAATAGAAAAGGATATAGTTAAAAAGAAGAAGATGCATTTTCCAACAATATTATTTAAATTTAAATATATATTGAAAAATGAATATTATGAAATATCTACAAGGTCTGATCTAAGAAAACACAGCATTACTGCTCATGTTACAAAAATAGGAGTGTTAATAAAATGAGATTAATGTGAATTTACAAGCAGCATAAAAATGGTTATTTTAGACCCCGTTGACCAACATTTCAGAGGATTTATGAGTTCTCCAAAGTGTCCTTTAATTTATCTTATCAGTAAATATTTGAAATTCGATAATGAATTACAATATTTCATTTCAAGAAAATAAGATGGCTAGTGAAATAAAATTTTAAAATTGTATACAAAAAAAAAAAAATTCCTCACATCTTCTAAAAGTAGTTTAAGTTTCTGAAGATACGTTTGAGCTGTTTTGTACCGTTCCTTGAATGAGTGTCGAGTTACTAATGCCTTAAGATTTCTTGCCATTCCTCCTATGTGTTCCTTAAAAATATAGATTATAGTAGTTCTAAATATTAAAATAAAAAATTAAAAATGCTCAATACAAAGGTTTTTAGTAAATACGAAATATAAACTCACGATTGTCGAGAGACAGTGTTTTAGCCTATTTTTGTCAAGTTTAGTGAAACCAAGAGGTCCAGCCCCATTGGTTATTGTGGAGTAACGATGACAAGAGGTGCATAACTCTTCCAGCACAGATCTCAGTTTTACTTCAGGTTCCATTTCTAGGGCTTCCAATGAAGCTACTTCAAGTAAGCCATCTTCCTAAAGAAAAGTAAAATATTGCATTAAACGAAAATATCATTATAATCTAAAATATTCTGTTAACACAACAAAAAACAATGTAATGATAAATCGCTTATACAATTTAATCTCAAATCATTGTTCTCCATATATTCTCAAGAAGAAAAAAATGAGAATTTTGAGATTCTGAAAATGATGAAGATATTGTAGAAGGAAAATAGTTACTTTTAATTTGAAATTAATTTTTTTTTATTAGTTTGTCAGTTTTAAGTATTAAATAATGTATATAAAGAAACAAATTGTTTACTATTCTTGAATAATTAAAAAAAATTGACCTCTTTTTTTCTCTTTTCTTTCATAGGCAAAGTTGAAATTTCCTGACATTATTTAATTTTTTTATGTAATTTTTTAAATGAAAACTTCTTTAGTGGTGCTTTGTATTTTTTTTTTGTGGGCAATGAACGGGACTGAGTAGTCCTCCTATGTAAGGATCATTAGGTTAGGAATTTTAGAAACTAAAAATTGGATCTGCAAACTGTAGGCAAGGGAAATGTTTAGAGCTATTATTTGGAATTGTATCTTGAGACAATGCCTTATTAGAAAAACAAAAATGGAAAAAGATAGAGTCAAAAACCAAGGATAGCACCAGAAAACCGAATAATAACGACTATTTTGAACATTTGGACTAAAATATCTCAAAATTTAAATTCCATAGGGGAATTCTAAATATAGATATATTCTTTTAATTAGCTGTAAAAAATAAGAAATTAAATGACCATCAGTTGGAGCAAAGTTTACCAGATTAATTTTTACACAATTATAATTGCATATATTGTAAATGTTATTAATTTGTGAACATCGAACAAAAAATAGTTTATATACAATGATAATTGTAAATTTTATTACTTTGTGAATATAGAACAAAAAAAAGTGTATATTTCATATTATTAATACCGCCTTGTTAAACATTGATCCGCCTTGATGTTTTCACTTCTATCGTGAGGTCTTAACACACACTGCAGTTTTTTAAATTTTTATCAAGTAATATTTTTATTAAGAAATTTTATTGTATCAGAGAAGTGAGCCTCTCATTCATTAATATGAATTTCTTTCTATTTAACTCAGATAATGTTAGTTTACAATCTGATTTTTATGTTTTTAGAATGTAGCTGGGGATTTGGATTTTTCTTATGATTTTTAATTTTGAATGTGCTAGATAGGAATTGTTTAAAATAATCTTTAATATTAGTGCCTGTAAAAATGAAATGGAAACATTTATATTTAATAATAATACATGTCACATCTATCATAATAGATTTAATCATCAACATAAACTATCATTCACCTCATTACTGAGTTTATTCAAGTTCAGAAAAAGTATCCTCTAAAGAAAAAATAAAATATTAGACAAATATATTTTATATAATAAATAATCAAACATACCAGCCTGTCTATAATCTTTGCTATCATATTACTGTTGTACATCCTCCTCCTCAAATCAGGATAAGTTGCCCTCAGGTGCATGCAGGGTTTGTCATCCCAATAAGGCAGAAAATAATACAACCTGTCATGCGACATAGGTTTTATTTTTGATGTTGTGCTTGACCAGTTTTGTAACTCGGACTTAACACTCTCTGTAAACGTGAAAATGAATTAGAAAAAATATTTTTTTTCTATTATACTTCATTAAGATTTTGCACATTAATAAATATTTAAAAAAATCATCCAAGGGAACGTGTATCCAAAACTGATCAGACCAACTAGGACAGGACTACATATCACTACTATTAGTGCAAAGGGTCGGATATAAAAATTGATTTAGTATGATTTCTCCTTGCTATTTTCCTATTTAGCAGACTACGTATTTCAGTTGCTGAGTACAAAATGTCACCTTTAGAGCAAATATTGTTACATAAGAACTTTTGCACTAACTGTAGCTATATATAATCCGATAATGACAATTAAAAAAATAAAATAAAATGATAAACTAATAGGAGTTCACTTTTTTAAAATTATATTTATTTCCACAAATAATGGGTTTTTAAAAACTAATTTTAAATTGATTGTTTTTTATAAATAAATGTTCTTAGAATTGGGAGGAGGATGGTAATTGGATAATGGTTTTCATTAGGAGGATAAATACAGAGTCAAGATGCACCAATTTTACTTCTGTTAAATTGTAACAAACAACTTGACTAAAAATTGATATAAAAACTAAGTTTTATTAGATAGTTTTATCAGCTGTAAAAAATAAGAAATTAAATGACGATCAGTTGAGCAAAGTTTACCAGATTAATTTTTACACAATTATAATTGCATATATTGTAAATGTTATAAATTTGTGAACATCGAACAAAAAATAGTTTATATACAATGATAATTGTAAGTTTTATTACTTTGTGAATATAGAACAAAAAAAAAGTGTATATTCATAAGTTTTATTTTATTTTATTTTTTATTTTTTTTAATTGCAACACTTTTAATATTTTTTAAAACAAGATATGCTGTGAGATAAAAAATAAAAAATAAAGACAAAATATTTACCAAGGGTCTCATCTGATTCACTACCATGATTTTCTTGAGCTGTCTGATTGTGACCATCCATCATATTTCCTGCATTACCAAGGCTAAGTTCAAAATACATTGGCTTATCGCCAAGTTTTCTATCAATCATCGTTGCTTCCATTATTGTAGCAAATAAAAAAAATTCTTCACTTTTTCCATAGGCACTCTAAAATTTAAAGAATAATATAAAATATTTATACAATAAAATAGGTAATCGTAGATTCAGTTAAATACAAGGAAATACTGCAACTATTATTCAATAATTTTTCATTGAAAAACCCAGAAATGTATCTATTTCACCTTATTTATATCCATGCGTTTTGTTTTATTTTATTCCTGCCCAAAGTATGTCAGAAATAGCTTGGAAGGAGGAAAACACAAAACAAACTTCAATGAATGCACTATGTTAAGAGCTTCTATCCTAATTTAAGTATCAATAACTAAATCTTTAACTTCTAATTTTTATTTATTTTTTAATACCGTGCTATTTGGTACATAGATATATATTTAGGAAAGTAATAAATTAAACGTAAAGAATTTCATAACAACCTGGTAGCAAAGTGGAAAAAAAATTTTAAATTTAATTTGTTTAAGTTTTTTGTGGTTCTTTAAATTGTTTTCCTAAACCACTTTTTGATATGAGTAAAATATAAAAATTAGAGAAAATTAATATTATTATTAGAATGCTTAATGCTCACTTCATTGATTGGGGATATCTGTTCAATAGTTGCTTGAGAGGGTGCAATCTCAATGGAATCAGATATTTCAGTTCGGATCGCCATCAGAAGCCTTGCTCTATATGATACTCCTTCACCGAGTCCAGTATTGAGCCCTGAATGTTGGTCCAGTATTGAATAATCCCTTGTTGATCCATACATATGTATGAAAGTTGGACCAAGAGTCGGGAGAAAACCTATGGTATAAAATATTGAATTAATCAATAAATTCATGTGATATATTATAATTCAGATGCACCAATCTATTTATAGGTGCTCTGCAATTGGAGTTGGCTATAGCTTGCTGGTACTCCAAGACTAAATATTAATTATGTTGAAAAATTTTGCTTTAAAATACCAAGATTTTTATAGGAAGAATTAATATATATATTATTGATGGATTCATAAATGTATTGTAATTTTACAAACTATTTTATATTCAAATAAATAATAAAAGCAATAAAGAAAACTTAATATTTTATTTCAGTCTGAAAATGAATTCTCTGACCTTTAAATGTTGTGAAATTAAAGTGTAGCATGTGTGGAAGCATATTCATTCTACAAAAAATTCTCTACACATATGAAACTTAAATGTATAATTATTAAGTGAAGAAACAATAAAAAATAACTTAAAAAGTTTAACCTTTATGCACCTGTAATGTATAAATTACAAATATGTAGTTTTTTTTATAAAAAATAATTTATAAAATATTCTTAGGACTTTGTTATGAAAAAAAAAGAAACCTACCTTTTTCGTTTCCTATATTTATTGTAAAAACAAATATAAATGTTTTTAATACTATATATTCTAATTTTAAGGCTAAATTTTAAAAATTAAGAAATGAAATTCACTTGGTTTTCATTACAAAAACAAATTATGCGTATGTAACTAGTGTAAAGTTCAATAAATGTTTTGGTACTCAGCCCAACCGGCCAGATTTCAAGATTGGATGCATTTTGGGCTTTTATTCTAATTATCAGCTTGTTGTAATTCCAGTATTACCACCAAATAATACCAGTTTCCGAAAAGTATGACTCCTAATTTATAGTAAAGCTATTCTAATAAAATTCTTAGTAAAAGTTGACTAAATTAATATTTTTTATTTATTATGTGTTGAGTTTAATAATAAAAAAGCTGATTATTATTTAATATTTATAAATTAATTATCCTAATTGTTATTTCAATTAAGGGTTAAAAAGTTAACAATAAAAATAGATTACCTCTCTCTCCATCATTAGAAACAGATTTTAAGTCAACAAAATGAGTTGCTATGACTGTGTTGACTGGATCATTGTCTCGAAGTTGTATTTTTATTCTTTGACACAGAGGTGGAAACATCTCATGGAATACAATCTGTTCATTCCAAACTGGTGCATAGCTGTTCTTACGTACAGAAGTCTTTCCCTAAGAAATAGAACAACACAGATTAGTCAAAATAATAAAATTAATTGGAAATACAACATGATGTTATTTTTCAGTTAATGGTAATGAAAAGTTTTGTAATGTATAATATTAAGGCCAAGAACATTAAAAAACTATTGATAATTTAAAAATTAATAATTACTTGCTGTGCCAACTAAACCTCCGAGGGGTACACCGAAGGGAAGGTGAGAGGTTTGCTTTAAGGCTGATCTGATAGGTCCAGATTTGAACGGCACCAGCAGAGGGGTGTGAAGACAGCGATTGGTGGTTTCGGCATTAAACCTTCGGTTTTGCTAAGCCATTTATTATTATTTTCTGGGTAATGAAAAATGTATTAAAAAGTAACATTTTTCTGGCACCAAATCTCTTGAATGGATGGTCATGATCTACTTGTGCAATAGTATTATGATAAATAATCAGTTTAAATTTACATTTCATTGGTGGATTGAGGTATAAGGTGGTAAAGAAATAGTTGATGATTGAACGCTAGAGGAATTGTGAATAGAGATTGGCGAGGAATTTGAAAAATAGGAACTTCTCGTACCAGCAAATTTTGATTTCAAATCTGCGCTATCTCCTGGTTTAAAACACAAAATATGCTGGTTTGAATGATAAATTGTTTTCCATAACTGAGATGTATAGTAAATTGGTACAGTAATGGTATTTATACTAAAAAAATTAGGAAGTTGATTGATTTAATTTCTAAAAACACAGATTATAATAAACTTCAATAAATTATTTTGTTTTGAAAAATTAAATATAAACTTCTTTTGAAACGGAACAATGACTTTGATTCTTCTCCACGACTTTTACGTAACCAGTAGACCATTCTACTAAAAAATAAAATAAAATACCTTAATTATATTGGCTAATATTTCTTTGAAATTATATTGGTCAAGTTGATCTGTATTCTTAGAATTAATTAAGTATCGAAATATACTATATAACAAAAGAACTAGAATTCTTATCATTAGAAAAGAAAAAACGAATCCATTAGAGCTGATCTGCATGTTCGAGGGCCAATTGATGATATTATTGTTATTCTGGCGTTAAGACTTGTCAAAGCAAGACCTATTTTGCATTATTGTATTTTACATTACTTACAACTAATAAGCCTTCAACAACTAAACAAACAGTAACTTATACAAACAAATTTACCGTTAGTCCAGCGAAGGACACCTGTACGTATGGATCCACGAGGTCCCTGGCCTCTCCGGTGAAAGCCTTTTTAACGTTGGCCACCAGCGACGAGTTCATCTTGGGCAGGCCGTCAGCTCTGTAGATCCTGACAACATAGCGTGCTCTTTGCCGTTCCATCGGCACGCCAGCGGGCAGCAACAGGTTCCTGCAACACCAATAGAAAAAAAAAAACTGTTGATGATGGAATGGATTTCTTCGTCTGTTTTGTAGAAAAGAATATCATTAATTCTTCAAACGAATTTCACAATTTAAAGTTCTCAATTCTGGGTTTAAACTTATTCCTCTATTACTTCTATTCAACTATTTGACCCCCGTTACAGCAATAGGATTATAAAACTTATTTCCGGTTACAATAAAAAATTAATAGCACTGATTTCCTTATTCCTATTCAATTCCTATTTGGCTTAACTGAGAAAACTACAGAAAAACTTGCTTCGATCTATTTATCTAACTTTCATAGATAAACTAAGTTAAGGTATATTTGATCAATTAAATTCATGTTTATATAAAATAATGATATAAACCATTATATTTTCATAATAAACTATTTAACATCTAGGTTTTTAAAAATCTTTTAATGAAGCTTTTTTTTCTCCCTTAAGTTATTTCAAGCCAGAACGTACTTCATTCCTCTATTATAAAAACTAATTATATAAAAAATAGAAATAACTTTTTCAAAGTTTTTAATAACATAGCTACGCTAAAAAAAGAAAAAGGAATAGGATATCTCATATGTCTGATTTTCGTATTTCCTCAAATTTGTGAATAACTCTAAGATAACAGGCCATTATTGTGTTCAAAGGGAACATGATGATTTCTGAGGACTTCATTTAGTAGTTTTGAACATTATTCTATCCAAAAGACTTTGATATTTTTTAATTTGGTGAAAAGTTCATAAATAGTTGTTACTATTATGTAATTTAAAATTATGAATCCTGAAAATATCATTACCGCAACTGTCACAAGTAACATACCATTAATTTAATTTATATTCTATTCCAATTCATTGAGAACCACCTTTTGACTTTGTTCGTAAAAGAGAACAACTATTTAACAGTTTCCCCTCTATTTTTAACAAGCACTGATTACATACAAATGTTCCATCTATTTTCAGAATTCAATAGAAATCAACTTTGCTGTTTTTTTAACAGTATTATAGTTTATAGAAACGTTTTATAAGTAAAAAATTAAGTATAACTTCATTTTAAAGTTTTCCGCCATAAATCACACAAAAAATTGATGTTTAGGAAATTTAAAAACAGGGGCATGAGTATACTAAAATGCATTACAATTAAGTCTTGCGCATAGTGTAGCATAGTACGCCTTCATTAGTTTATTTTACTTTTCTAATGTTCATACCAATTTACTCCCACATATTATTATTAATTCAATATTTTTCAAACAGTTGGTTTTATTTTATCACTATGTAATGAAAAAAAGCGATTTTATTTATTGGTAAGGATGCCTATAACTGATGTATAGTTTTTTTGCAGCATCATTATGTAGTGTATTTCAATACATAACTATTTGTAAGAATACTTGACCTATAAAATTAAAAAAAAAAATATTAGTCAATATAACCAAGGTATTATATATATTTTTTAGAATAAATGCTTTACTGGTTATGTCAAAGTCATGGTTATGTTAAAGTAATTATCTTGTACAGTATAAAACCCGTATAGATATTTGTACTGGAACGAAGTCTTTTAAGAATAACAACATTGTTCATCTTTAAATCTGTCCATAAAATCTATTAATATAAAAATATAAGTAATAAACTCAGTATATACATAGCTATATATAAAAAAAACAGATGAACAATAGGGCCATAATACTTCAATATACCCGTTAAAAAAAGTAATAAATGAATTGTACAGCCATTATCATAGCCAAAACGGTGACGGAAAGGAATAATTTATAACAATAAATTGGAGAACATAGGTGATCCAATGGAGGAGATCAAAACCTCAAAAACCTTCTTAACAGATAAATTTCTTGCCGTTATCGAAAGTTAAAGCTGATATAAAAGGCCTTTACTTTTATGTTTGTCATTACCGTATTTTTTTGCTGTAGTCAAGTGCTCAAAATTATTCACTTTTCAGATCTATTTTTCGAAAACCCTACTTCAAACTCACTTCATGACTCTGTTTCTAATCTGTACTTCCTCCTGCTTTAAAATAACAAAATGTGCTGATTTCATTGATAAAAATCAAGATGAATAGTTTTTACCGTAACTGATACTTGAAAATTTAGTAAGTTGTTCGATTCAATTTCTTAAAACACTGACTATAATCAACTTAAAAGTTGACTGATTTTTTTGTGTAAAGAAAAATAAATAAAGCGGAAAAATTAATATAACTTTTTTTGAAACAGGATAATGATTTTAGTTCTGCCTCACGACTTTGACGTAAAAAGTAGATCTTGACGTAACAAGTACACAATAAATAAATAAAATACTTTGGTTATATTGACTAATACTTCTTTGAAATTTTATTTTTAAAGTTGATCAGTATTATTTTAATTAATTATGCATTGAAATACGCTATGTGATGATACAACAAAAGAACTAGACCCTCGTCATTAGAAAAGAAAATATGAATCCATTAAGATGCACCATTATACTGCCAAGTTATGGATATTATTAATTAAAATAATCACTTTTTTCATTACATAATGATAAAATAAAACCAACCATTTGAGAAATATTGAAATAAATAATATTATATGGGAGTAAATTGGTATGAACATTAGAAAAGTAAAATAGACTAAAGAACTACACTACAGGTGCTACACTATGCACAAGACTTTAATTCAATGCGTTTTAGTATATGAATGCCCCTGTTTTTAAATTTTCTAAACCTTTATTTTATGCGTAATTTATGATAGAAAAATTTAAAATGAGGTTACATTATTTTTTTATTTCTAAAACTTTTCTATCCTATATATAATGTATTCCACTTTTTTATTTATAATATTCTTAAAAAAATAAATTAGACTTTTAAAATAAAAGTTTACATACCTTTATAATTAGGCTCTCAGATTAAATTACATCGAAAATAAATTATCTATAAAGTTATAGTTATACATTTATAGCCGATTTTTCGGTCTCATCCTGAAGGCGATTTCCAGAGAAGAGGAATTTGAAACACTTTTTGAAGTGAAAACCTCTTTTTTGTGGAGAGTGGTCCGTTAGATTTCGTTCGGCATTAACGCTCAGGTAAAGTCGGCTAGAGTCGACTAATTAAAATATTTTTACATATGTATTAAAGTGCCTCAGAAACTATAAATCGGGCCTGTGTACTGTGAGCGAGGATATTGTTCAGCATTTCATCCTCTAATATAATTCAAAATTGTATCTCAACTCTACGCCGTGTTAGGGAAGCGGAAAGGAGAAAATACTGTGGAAAACCAAACGATAAGATTAGTTGAACATATGGATTAAAATATTTCAGATACTAAAAATCGGATCTGTATACTGTAAGTGAGGAAAATGTGCAGCATTTGATCTTCTTTGTAATTAGCTATTATTTATAATTTATGTTTCAGATTATTACTCTCGCCTTTGTAATGTTTTCACTTGTATCGCCTGTTATTATATAATATAATAAGCACACACCTATTTTTTTTTAACATGTCATTTTTTATTCACATTTGACATAATAGTAATGACAATCAGTGAATTAGATGTTTATTACAAAATGAAACTCTTAAAATGAATTGTTTTTACTGTAACATGTTTTAGAGAATATTGAAGAATATATTGCCGGCTATGTTAGCGCGACACTTAGAGATCTGCTTAAAAACTGATTTTTTTTTTTAGCAACTGCTATTTAAAATATGTTTAGCATATTATCTTTAATTTCTACCCATTAGAAAAATAACCCCTTTCAAAAATAACTAAAGTAATTGTTTACTGTACATTACCCATTTATTTGTATTTTTTTAAACTAAATAATTCTAAATAAATAATTTTTATTTTTTGTCTCTAATTCTTCATCCGCAGCTATCATTGTAGTGAAAACTAAATAAATAATTAACTAATTTTTTTTTAACTCATAAAAAATTCTATATATTATTTCTTTTTTGTATATACAAATGTATTTGCGCCTGTCAACTTGTTGACAATCAGTAAATGTGCTGGCGATACAGGAAATACTGACATGACAAGCATGGAGAAAGAAAGTACTCAACAGTACCTCTTCCCTAACTTGTTCCAATTACTTATTGTTATTAATAAAATTAGAGGGTCCAGGTCAGAGTGACGTAAGTCAATTAACCTTTATTTCATGAAACAAAACGTCTAATCGATATTTTTTTGATAAATTTCCTAGTCCAAATTTGTGCTGGGATCCAGTTCAGTATTGATATGAGTAATAATCAGAAACAACTGAGAAAAAAAATTGTACAAATTTTACTTCTAGTATTTTATTGACAAATTTTATAGAAATATTTACTTATCTTCGAGCAAGTCAATAAAATAAATTTTTCATGTTTGATAAAAAAAAGATAGATAGGCGAAATTTGGCTAACGATTTAGCTTGTGAATGAGTTCAATTTTTCTTCTTTATAGTTTAGCTCTTCTAGATTGTCTGAATTATGGAAATTTACCACTTACACCACTCTTTACCAGCTTCAATAAAAGAAACATCAAAGTGACGTTAATTTTTTTTAAATTGATAAATTCGAATGATTTTTTGAAAATAAGCGAATAAAAGTTTCATATTATGACCATTTCGACCGTTTATTTAAAAAAAATCTCGTACTCTTCTGGTGGAACTAAACTTTTACGTAAGTATTAGTGAACTTCACTAATATTTATTGATATAAAACCTCATCGTGTATCATAATAAAAATAAATTATTATAATTAAAAAAAAATTAGAATACTTACGCAATGTTGATGTTGATTGATAAGTTGACAGGAAATTGATTAAATTATATAGTGATTAATGCTTATGAATTTTTACTTTGATTTTTCGTAATACATCGAAGATATGTTTCTAACATGAGATAGGAACAACTTTTGTGAAGTGAGGATCAGGTTGGTTTAAATATTTAGGGGTATAATCGATTTTTGTTTTTTGCACCGTCGTGGACTCTAGACAAGTCTAGCAGAAA